TCCATTCCTTGGGATGGAATTAAGTGTAAAAATAATCAAAAGTTCTCAATACACATGCAATTTTGAAACCTTTAATTTGTCATTGCCAATGATATGCTTATTGATACGTACTTGTCCAAGGCATTCTTTCTCTTGATTAGGTACTTATAAGAATAAACTTTTAAATTAATGAGAAACAAATTATATTAAAGAAAGGAATTCACACTTTTATTTTTGATCACACAAACATAAACATGAACACAGCTTAATATAAAAAGTAAAACATATGATATTGAAACAATGTACATTTAAACAGTTCAGAGGCAAAATTGTCAATGTTCCAATAATGCTTGAGACAGGTATTGTTACGAAAAGAAAGATAAAAACCAAATTGATATTAGTCCAGGGGCCCATTCCATAATAAACTACAAGTTACAAGTTACAACTTGTAACTTGTAATTTCCATTAGATTTGCATTGGGCGATCAGCTGATTTACTAATAATATTAGTTTGTACTTTATTATGAAATGGGCCCCAGGAGCTGAGGGGGTTTGAGCATGCATGAAAGTAGTACGCAATATTATTGCTGATTATTGTAATATGGACTGTGGTGATAAAAATTAATTACGTATGTCACCTATTCCAAAAGTGGTCGATAAGGTGAGGGGGAGGGGGCAAACATGGCGGGTTGCGCTATGCGTTAAAACGCTGATATTTCGAAAACGGTAAAAGATAGAACATCGGTTAAAACGCCGTTGTAATCCTACAAATATGGACTACAATATTGATTATTAAGTCAGCGCTAGTGGCGCTGCCTACGAATCGACAGGCAAAGCTCTCTCAAAGTACTTAACGCTTTTTACCACGCGGTTGGCATTCTGGGTTAGTGGGTTATAGTAGTACGTTTTCTGCTTCTGTGGTAGCAGCGACTAGCACTTGCCGGCGAATGAAAATTCACCGCTAGTAGCCGACCTTGAAATCGACACTGCCCCCACTTGCCATGTATCTTTAAGCTATTTTTAGTTTTTTTTCTGCATGAAATTGTATCCTCCCAAATGTATCTTTTTTCTATATCACTGGATATATCATATCCAACAACTCATCAAATTTTGGAACGGTTATCCTCATTATTTTAAAATATGATTGGGGGCTTTCATTTGCTAATTCTTTCATTGGTATTGATGAAGAACCCTCTCGCCTCACTATTCACCCCCGAACCCACTTGCGTTTATTCTTCTTTCTTGATCACCTACGCAAAAATACGCAACATACGTCTCTCTTTAATACCACAGATGACATTTTCCTCAGCACAGTAATTTCCTATACAACCAAACTGGAAGTAGCCGCTACAACTCGCCATATGTGTGACTGGAAGTGTTTTTCAAGCCTGCGAGTACGAGTGGCGACTAAGATGCTTTTTGCAGTTCTTCAGAATACAATTTACTTGTTTCATTATTGTTATGGAGATGATGTGTTTGCTCCATTGCTACCTACCAGCTTTATAATGACACAAAAAATGACAAAAGTTTCAAAAATAAAATTGCCAAAATTTTCAATTTCAAAACTTTTGAATCTCGAAACTCGCCTATCGAATCTCGAAACCGAAACTTTTCCAAAGTTTTTGATGGTTATGAGATTTGGTTTTGTTTTGACACATCACTAAATAAAATAGTAACGAGCGTATACAATGCAAAGCTTCTGACAAAACATACTCCCATACTGTTCTGTCTTCAGTCCATTTTTTCCTAGAACGAACAAGAGATACGGTCTTCCAAATCGTTCCATTCGCTCGGCTTAAGAATTACCTCGAGGGTTATGGTTAAGATCGGCTTTGTGGCGATTCCTTTTGAGTGTAAGAAATCACTCAGTGCTTTTAACATGAAAGCAGATCCTTGGTCGGAGTGGACAAAAGCAGGCATACCAAAGATGGTGAAGGTGAAGATTGATGGATGTAAGGGTTTTGATGAAAGAAGATGCGGATGTGTCCGAGCAAGGAATAGGAAACGGATATCTTGAAAACTCATCAACAACGTCAGTATTGTATTATTCCTTGTATTGGCCCTTTAAAATCAAGGTTAATAGGACAAAATTCGAACTATGCGCTGTAAGAAAGCCAAATGTTTCATAGTGCAATCCCGTAGTGCTAAAAAAATAAATAGCCAACTTGAGGCGAACTTGAGTAATTTTTGTCCGATTTTGATGAAATTTGGTTTAAAGGTGTAAAGCGGGATAAACTTGAATGAGTTCACGAACCAGCACGATCGGACCATGGGAACGGGGCTTTACGGGGGGTTTTATGGGGTAAAAATTGGTTTTTCTCACTTTTGACCCTCAAAACACAAAATTTCCCAATTTCTCGTTAGACCTTTTTAAAGAGCTTAAAAAAACAAATAATTTAGTATATAAAAGTATTTTTGTTCGAATATTAGTAACGGAGGAAATTAAACAAAATTGTAAATTTAAAATTCCCATGTTATTCTTATGGAGAATATTGTCAAATGTTGTAGTTTGCTTGTTTATAAATATATTTTGAACAAACTTGGCAAATTTATTTATTTTGTACTAAGCTATCAATATTTTACTCAAAAACACATTTTATTAGTTTCTTTTTAGCAGCAAACCTAGGTACTCGTTAAACCTAATGTTATTAAAATATATTTAACTGAAAATCAATTCAGACAAATGGAAATTCGCTTAGTCGGCAGGTTTGCTGCGGCGGGGGTATAAATTATAACCGTACAAAAACACTTTGATATACTAAGTTATTTGTTTTTTAAACTCTTTAAAATGGTTTAGAGATAAATTGGAAAATTTTGTATTTTGATGTCCCCAGAGGCCAAAAACACCATTTGTTCAAATTTAATTTAATTTAGGGTTTTATGGGGTAAAAATAGGTTTTTCCCATTTTTAACCCTAAAAACACAAAATTTCACAATTTCTTTTTAAACCATTTTGTAGAGCTTAAAAAAACAAATAATTTAGTATATTGAAGCGTTATTATGCGCCTAATTTAAAATGGACTAATGTCTGAAACATGTCACTTCTTTTTATAAAATATAATATTCAGGGTGCTCAGTTGTACTTATTTACTTAAATATTTAATATATCAGCAGCCCTATTACGTGAACACCTAAATTAAAATATATATATATATATATATATATAGATATATAAAAATTTGAACGAATGGTGTTTTTGGCCTCTGGGGACATCAAAATGAAAAAGTAAATAGGTCCCGGGCTTAGGTCTTACCATGAGACCTACGGTAATAGCTACTTCCCTATAGGGAAATTCGCTAAAAGATTGGTGACAGCTGTTCCATATAGATGGGATGTTTACTTCTGTATCCAATAGCATTAGATTTCCCATCCTCATAAAACAGCCTTCGAAGTGGCAACGTCGCAAGTAGGGTTTTAACAGCTGTTTTGTTTAGAAGCAGCTAATGGTTTTTGTGTATTCTTGAATAATATGTAAGCTTTACTGGTCTATGAAAATATTGACTCCACTTTAATTATACAAAAATAGATTTTCAATTTATTGTTTTGATTTTCAATTCTATAGGTTTTATTTTCAATATTTTAATACATTTATGCTCATAAATTTGAATTTAAACGAATAATACGCGAATTGATGAGCAGGTGTCACTTTTCTGTCATGTTATCTTATGGGACATCTGCTAGACAACACCACTTTTTTGTAAATATGTATATATAAATTATTTTGGACGTAGCTTATCCAGTGAGTTACTGGTCTCAGGCTAAGAATAAGGTAATCAGATTAGGTAATCACTTGCAACGTTGCCAATTCTACCAGGCCGCGGCCTGCAGTTAAAGGTGGCCATGGCTGAAGCATAGACTAACCAACCAACACAAGTAGACTTCTCATCCCATTGTAAATTTTGAAGCACGTTTTCGTGTCTAGTTCATGTACGTAACACATGGGCGCTAGTGTCGACGAAACTTTGTTTCTATTATTTTAGGGTTAATTTCTTGATTTGTGCTTTACTGTTTGGTTATATAACTAGGGGACAGGTTATTGTTTATGATTAGATCGTATTATTTGGTTAAACGATGTTTTAAATGGCTGTAATAACGGGAAACAAATTGTAAACAAAACACGACCTCTACATAAACTGTACAGAACTAACAATAAAATTGTCTTCAGCTGTTCCATAAGGATGGGAAATCTACTAAGGGAGTACCGGTATCTATTTGTCTATGGTTTTATCTATGGCTGAAGCCAATTTTATTGTTAGTTCTGTCCGGTTTTCTGTAGATGCCGTGTTTTGTTTACAGTTTGTTTATATTATTTTACGGTTAGTTTCTCATTATATTTGTGTCTATAACTGATTGGTTATTTTGCTAGTAGACGTGTTATTGTTTATGCTTATAGTTAGTTTTATTTGGTTAAGCGAGGTTTTAAATTACTGTACTGAAATAACAAGAAACAAATTGTTAACAAAACACGACATCTATACAGAAAACCGGTCAGAACTAACAATAAAATTGGCTTCAGCTTTTACATAAGGATGGGAAATCTACTCCAGTAGTCAATGGTGAAACGTACCACCAAACGTACGTTATAGTGCCTAATTCTTATACTTTTTTCATGCTTTTCAATCAAATGGCGACCATACAAACAAAGTAGGTATTTTAAGCCAAGTATGAATGGAGATGAGTGTAGGATGAGTGGCCGAGTGGCGCAATCTTGTAGTCTTGTTAGTGACTAAGGCCGACATATTCCTTAGGCACAGCTGTTAATTAATAGTTGTTAATAAACAGTTATGCACTATAGGACAAAATTCAAATTAGGCACCATAAGACAAATTCACGACTAGGCACTGTAGGATTATGCACTATGAGACCTCACAGAAAGTTTTTAGTTCTCAAATATTAATCCAATAGCATTTTGGTACAGTATTTATTTTACAAAACGAAGAAGCAGGACAGTGGAGAGGTCAGACACGGCTGCCTAGGTGGCCGTGGTTCAGAGCTGGAGTGGAGTGGAGAGAAGAAGTTGAAGTTTTATATTCATGATGGCGACCAATATTGTTCTGTCTATTATTTTCTTGCGTATTTGTGTCTTCTTGTGATTGTTTATATTAAAGTGCATGAAAAGGTTTTTGAATGTAATATTTTTTTATCACGTTAGTTTTTAAGGTAAGTATTTCATTCGATCTTAACCTTGTCATATTAAAGCTGTTCCTACCAAATCTACTTTAATCATGTCCTGAATCCAGCCGTTTTCCCCAAATAGGCCTAAGTTTGTACATTTGAAAACGTAACTTATAATATTGTGTAAGGTAGGCCTAGGTTGGTTATTTTTACTATACGGTACAATCCAGGCCTATCTAAAAACGAGATCAATAACTCAAATAAAATGCAAGCACCATATTAGCCTAAATTAGGTACTGTCGCTGATGGGTTTAGTTAGTTGGTTTTTAGTTAGTTGGTTTTTTGTTGTTGTAAGAAGTAATTGATATTGTTTTATTGAAGCAACATTGTCTATTGTTTATTTTAATTTTAGTTCTATTATTTGACATGACCAATGCAAATTTTGTATCTGTTATTTTGGTTCAATAAATGAGTTATGAGTTATGAGTATACTGTAATTAAATTATTCCTAACTAAACTCAGACACAAGTTCCAGTTAGGCAGTGATAGGAAATCATGCATAATAAGGTTACCATGGGAACCTAAGTTATATTAATTTAACCCTCCAAAGGTCCATAGTTTAGGCCTTAATGTCCACCTATTTTTGGCCCCTTTGCAAGGTTTTATTAAAACGGATCTGAGAAGCTTAAAACAATGTTAATTCTAATGTTCTATATACCATTTTGTTTGGAAAATCATGGGCTTCAATATTATATATAAAACATAAGGAACATTTAAAAAAAAAAATTTTAGGTAAAAAAAAATATAATTTCGAAAATTTTCAAAAAAAAAATAAGTTCGCGCTTAATGAAATTGTATAAATTATAGGCCTATCAATATTTGAAAATAGCCACTTTGTTCTAAATTTAATGAGGATTACAAATATATAATCATATAGCGAGGTAAGTTATCAAATAAATAAGTTATGAGCGAAAAACGGATTTCAGTACATAGCGTTTAGCTAAGAATGCATAGCCTAACCATAGCTAGGAATCTGGCTGATAATTTACATCAATATCACTACCTACTTCTTCAGGATCATCAACCAGCACTTCAAAACCACTTAAATCTTCTTATAATGCACCACGTATATCACTACTTTTGATTTTTAACACTAAAACAATGATAAACATAATAAAACACATCAGTCATCGGTCCGAGGTTAAGTAACCTGTTTACTAATATGCACGTCAGCTGTCTGCTAACAATTACGATCGGCTCAGAGAACAAACAGCGCTTAGAGACAGACCTTTAGAAAGCTTAGAATCTAATGAAAAGAACGATACCTAACTCGATCCAGTTCAATCCGATTCAGTCAGTCATAGAGCCTTCGCCGTAAACGATGTTTGTGCGTCTTAAACTAGACGCGTGACCCTACACAAAGTGTGTTGTGCGTCTATTTTTTGACGCGTGACCCTCGGAGGGTTAACTTATAGGCTAGACCTATACCACAAGAAGCGAGATTTTTCTGCGCTCAGAAATATTCACTGAAATAACTTAACTTAGGCTATGGCCTAACAAAGGTAGGCCTAGGCCTAACTTAAGTTACCGTGAGTTATACGTTTTACAACTTAGGCTAAACTTACTCCTATACTTAATTCTACTGACCAAGTTAACTTTTTTGTCACACTAAGTTATTTCCTCATCAGAAACTTGATATTCGGTTAAGTTAACTTAATTATTCATGTTCACTGGGTCTAGCTTTGTCATTTTTCATATCTTTTGTCAGCTCCTTTTTGTTTTCATCGTACTGTGCCAACAAGTAAAATTGTAGGGAGGCGTCAGTAAGTAGATCGTCCACCAGCTTAACATTGGTAAACCAGTTGTTATGTTGCGGTTGCTTCCATGCACGGGTCTCATTTTCTTGACCATATACTCTGCTACTGGTAAATTATCGGTAAAGGTTTTATTGCCAACGTGTACGGAATAGCATTGAACTTATAGTTTGTGCTTGTGTCATATCCCATCACTAGCTTTAACCCATATTTAGAAGGTTTGTTAAGGATGTACATACAAAATCTGCATTTCCCTCTGAATGCTAGAAGCTGTTCATCTATCATTTCTGATCTGATTTCTATTTTTTCTGTTGTTCTGTTAGTGAGTTGGTGGCTCAATCGGTAGCGTCGCGGACTTCGGGCCCAAGGCAGCGATGTCGTGGGTTCGGATCCTGGTCACTGCCGATAACATTTTATCAGTACAGTTCACCTTTGTACTGTACCGGCTCACTCCTTGCTTTGCTGTTAACGATCCACGCACGGGCGCTTAGTCTATGTGGACAGGCAAATGCAAGGTTAAAAGAGGCCGCCAACCTCTTAAAAAAAAAAAATCTATTGTAATGTAGGGACTTAACTGCTATCTCTGCAGTTTGCAACACAAACATATATAAATATTTATATATACGATATAATACGATATAATGATAGGTATGTACATACGTCCCCGTCGCAGCAAACATGCCGACTAAGCGAATTTCCATTTATCTGAATTGATTTTCATTTAAATAACTTAAGGTTTCTTGAGTAGGCTACATGGTTTGCTGCTAGAAGGAAACTAATTTAAAGTTTTTTTTTGTAAACTATTAATAGCTCTGTAGGCCTTTAAAAAAAATAAATTTCCCAAGTTTGATCAAAATACCTATATCCATAAACAAACAAACTATAGGTCGGCCAATTAGAAAACAACATGTGCGAAATTTTTAGCGCATGTGTAGGGGAGGTAACGGCGTGGGAGGGTATGTTCCCCCATTCCGCCAATGGCCGTTTTCACACCGCACAACACGACACCGACACGGCGCTGCCCCGGTGTCGTGGGAGTTGGAATCCTGTGTTACCAAATGGAACTGCTTACACAATGATATAATAACATTTCATGATGCTCAAATATTGATGCGATTTAGGATACTTATACAATATTTTTTGCAGGACCTATTTTCCTTAAGTTATGAAGAACGTAGCCTAATTGTTTACATTTTGATCAGCTGTATAATTTAATTTGATTACTGTAGCTCATTGGGGCTGTGTTCGGGAAGGTTGTGGGTGGGGTGGTTAGCGGAGTGGGGGAAGAGCCATAGTCTGTCTCACTCCCACAGCTCGTTATCTCTCTCTCGCACCAATGCTACGAGGAGGACGCTTTCTAAGCGGCCGACCTTTACAACATTTTACAATATTCTCCATGAGATTAACATGGGAATTTTTAGTGTCAAAAATGAGAACCATTATTTACCCCATAAAACTCGGTAAAACCTCATTCCCATGGTCCGATCGAATGCTGGTTCGCAAACTCATTTAAGTTTATCCCACTTTACATCTTTAAACATAAACTTACTGTGGTGTAGGCTATATAAAAAAAATTTAAACAAAATTTCATCAAAATCGGACAAAAATTACTCAAGTTTTCATGTTCACGGACATATGCCTATAGGCCTGTATTTATATAGGCCTACAGTAGACTCCCTCTTATCCGGACACCTTTTAACCGGACATCGGTTTAACCAGACTGCACTCGGCAGAAATGACATCTCTTTAACCGGACAATTTTTATCAGCACATTGGATAACAGGACTAGATCGGCAGGCAGTACTGAAACGAATGTTCTCGTGGGAAGAATTTAAGACCAGTGATCACGTGTCTAAATACAATGCTCTACTAAATTTAAGTCGAATATCACAGTAAACAGTCCATTTTAATGAGTTTTTGGGGACGTCGGTTTAACCAGAAAACCCATTATCCGTACTGGCCTCCCTCCCAAGGAGTCCGGATAAGAGGGATTCTACTGTACATATAAATTTGGACGAATGGTGTTTTTTGGCCCCTGGGGACAAAAAAATGAAAAAGTAAATCTTCGGTCCCGGGCCTAGGTCTTGCCGTGCCACCTACGGTAATAGCTACTTCCCTAGCCTATATCCCTCCGAGTGTCTCTTGTTTTGGCCTTAATGTCTGCCTATTTTTGCTCATTTGCAAGGTTTCATTAAAACGGATCTGAGAAGCTTCAAAACAATGTTAATTATACTTATCTATATAGCCTACCATTTTGTTTGGAAAATCATGGGCTTCAATATTATACATAAAACATAAGGAACATTTGTTTCAAAAAAATTTTTTAGGTAAAAACAAAAATATTTTGGAAAATTTTCAAAATAAAAATAAGTTTGCGCTCAATGAAATTGTATAAATTATAGGCCTATAAGTATTAGAAGCCACTTTGTTCTAAATTTTATGAGGATTACAAATATATAATAATATAAGGAAGTATATTTGCAAATAAATAAGTTATGGGCAAAAAACAGATTTCAGTACATCGCGTTTAGCTAAGAATGCATAGCCTAACCATAGCTAGGAATCTGGCTGATAATTTACATCAATATCACTACAGTACCTACTTCTTCAGGATCATCAACCAGCCCTTCAAAATCACTTAAATCTTCTTATAATGCACCACGTATATCACTACTTTTGATTTTTAACACTAAAACAATGATAAACGTAATAAAACACATCAGTCATCGGTTCAAGGTTAACCAAGCTGTTAACAAATACGCACGTCAGCTGTCTGCTACAATATTTTCGGAACTAAAATGAAAAGCGCTTAGAGACAGACCTCCAGAGAAAGCTCTGAACCTGTAAAATAAAACGATACCTAACTCGATCCAGTTCAATCCGATTTGGTCAGTCATAGAGCCTTCGCCGTAAACAGTGTTTGTGAGTCGCTGCAGCGACACAAAACACTACAAAAAGTGTGTTACGTGTCGCTGCAGCAACAAATAACACTCGGGGGATAAAGGGAAATTTGCTAAAAGGACTATTTTTTTAACAGTGGTAGCTTACAATCTACCCTTCAAAATTATCCAGAAATAATTCCTCAATGCTATAATAAGATTTTGCCGATAGCCTAATGATTTGTGTAAGGATTTAAAGGTATTTTTTGACGAATTTTTGCTTATGAAGTGCGAGTGGTGTGTGAAATAGTTACCTATGGTTAAATTGAAACTTATCAACACTGTCCTGATTATTGTAGAGTATAACTTTACAAATTCTAATATAGCCTATATTTAAACCATAAAACCTGTTTAAGTTAAAATTCCAAATTCTATATATAAAACAGCATGTGTTCTTTTAACACGTTGGCTGCTACGGACGTTCCAGAACGTCAAACGGGCCACGGCGCCAGGAGCTAGGCTGAACGTTCCGGAACGTCACCGTTCATTGTTGTTTAACGTTTCCATAGATCAGCCAGCTCGTCACGAGCATACTATATTTCTTTGCAGCTCGTGGGGACGTACTTTTCTGACAATAAGAAATATAGTTTCCCAAAATCACCACCAGGGTCGTTTAGAACAGGGCTTTGTCCCACCTCTTTCCTGCTAGATAGCGACCCTACGGTACTTTATCAACTGCAACCTGGGTAGTGCTGCTATCTATCAGAATCACTTAGTACTATGTCCAAAGCCAGTTTTATTTCAGAACATTGCCATCCAGTCTAACTACTGTTGTTTTTACTGTAATTCAGTATATCGGCAGCAATGTTTACGCAGCGGCGAGCATTAGTTCAGCTCCTGGCGCCGTCTCGGCATCTAGCGGTCAGCAGCGAACGTGTTAAAAACCTTTGCCATTGTCCTCACTACTGACAATCAAATTGACCGTTTATCATTTTGAAAATTTAGTCTTAAGTGAAACAATGTGGGATTAGGAAGATCTTTACAATGTTTTTGATTGCCAATATATACTCTTTGGGACTGTAGGCTGTAGGAATTGTGACTACAGTTTGTTGGATGTCCAATATAATAGGCCTATTACCATACTGGTTAATTTGAAAGTTACCATACCTGCTTCAAGGAATAGGTAGCAACTTTCATGGTGAAGAAAGGCTTTTTGTGCCTTAGGGCCTTCCTCACTAATTCATTAGACAAGAATTTAGGAATTGATGAAGAATAATCTTTTTACAAGTGGTCCCTTTAAATAAATTTTAAAGTTTAAATAAATAAATATAAATAATTCTTTTTCCTACAGTTACCTAACAATGTACATGTTCTCTCACTGATTTGAGAAAGCAAAGTGGCCAATTCGCTCATCACTTATTCGCTCTAATTACTTTGTCTCACTCACTCCAGATTTGCAACGTGAAGGCATGAAATAGTGAGCGCGTAACATGCAGACGTCGTATGCGCGCGAAATACGTTGGCAATACTGGCTGTAAATCAGCTGGTCAGCTGTTGTACTGTTGTATAATTAAATGTCATATTAAAAGTGTAAAAATATGTTATGTTTCTTTACCAATTTATTTGGTACCGGTAGGCCTATTTATGGTAACTGTAAGAAAAATTTAATGTGCAACTCGAGTGCAAAGTGCAATTGCCTCACTCGAGGAACCATTCCGTAAGTATTTCTCTTGAGTGAGTCAATTGCTCTATTTGCTCACTAGTTGCACAAATAACTATTGTCACACAAAGCATTTTGAATCATAGCACAGCTGAAAAAAATTACATTGTCAAGATTATTACTAACTTTTAATGTACAACAATATGTCTTAAATGCATTAAACATGTGTTTAAACAAGTTGGCAAAATTGATTAAACAATAACAGAAAAAAATACAAGTTTCTATGTAGCCTAGTCAAATAAGAACATAAAAATACAAAATAAAAGTCATATTGATTGGTTATTTTCTTTGGGGTAGCCTAATCATTAAAAACACTGTAATATTATGTCTTAAATAATTATCAGAAAATCAGCAAGGCTGCTTTTAAAAGATTTATATTATATTAATTACAGTTTTAAAAGTTAAGGGTAACTTAGTTTATCAAAGAGTTTTTTCCCATGTAGGTTATAATGTTGAAGATTCCCTATGATTCTAATCCTACACAAATATTGTGTTTCAGATGGCTCGATATTCAAAAGGGTATGGGAAAAAAGGACCCAATGCCAAGCATAATTCACAGTCCAATATTCAGTTTGAGACCCTTTTTTGTGAAAACAGTAATAGACCATCTGCAGCCAAGTCAGCAGGGACAATTGGAAAATGGGGAATTACTTCATTCACTTCCATCCGAAGCACCAATTTTTCTGTTGGAGGTAAAAAAGTCTAATTGTATTGATGAAAAAAGTTTAAAAGTAGGCTATTCTAAATTATTTAAATATTTGACACATGATTATTTTAATACAACTTTATTTAAGCTCAAGTATTTTGTTTTGTTTGACTATGCCTCACTTTTTCTTTTTATCCTGGTTGACATAATTCCACCTTAGACATCCAATGATTATTTTAGGAGAGCCTTGGTTGCCAAGGAAGACCTACCACAGACAGGTGAACTCCTCTTGAGTTCATACCTTATCAAGACAGGACCCAAACCCTCGATCTATGATGCTGTCTCTTGGTTGCCAAGGAAGACCTACCACAGACAGGTGAACTCCTCTTGAGTTCATACCTTATCAAGACAGGACCCAAACCCTCAATCTATGATGTTGTCTCCTGGTTGTCAGAATTCCACCTTAGACATCCAATGGTTATTTTAAGAGGGCCATGGCTGCCAAGGAAGACCTACCACAGACAGGTGAACTCCTCTTGAGTTCATACCTTATCAAGACAGGACCCAAACTCTCGATCTATGATACTGTCTCCTGGTTGTCAAGGAAGACCTACCACAGACAGGTGAACTCCTCTTGAGTTCATACCTTATCAAGACAGGACCCAAACTCTCGATCTACGATGCTGTCTCCTGGTTGTCAGAATTCCACTTTAGACATCCAATGATTATTTTAGGAGGGCCTTGGTTGTCAAGGAAGACCTACCATAGACATGTGAACTCCTCTTGAGTTCATACCTTATCAAGACAGGACCCAAACTCTCGATCTACGATGCTGTCTCCTGGTTGTCAAGGAAGACCTACCACAGACAGGTGAACTCCTCTTGAGTTCATACCTTATCAAGACAGGACCCAAACTCTCAATCTATGATGCTGACTCTTGGTTGCCAAGGAAGACCTACTTGAAAGGTTAAGCATACCATGTGGTTTATTTGTTGTATAGTAAATTATTGTGATGTTTAGCCTACTTGTTCTTTAATCTCCTTCAGTACCTATGTATATTTCTTTTCAGGTCGCTATGAAGAGAAGAGTCGGTTCAGTGGCAAGAGAGCTAGAGGGGATGTGAAGGTGGGCAGAAGAGATCCCTTTGTTTTTGTCCACTCTCCCCCACCAACCCCCACTTGTGAACCACCGAAGCCAAAAAAGTTTTTTAAAAGCAGAAATGCTACTGACACTCCAGTTGCGCCTACTCCAGCACCTCCTCCTGCGAAGAAGTACACTAAGGCTTCACCTTCAAGGTAACTACACTGGAATACAATTTTTTTTTTTTTGTAAATTTAACTCGTTTATCATTATATTGCAATTAAACCAAATTAGTGCTCCTCTACACTGACCTTGGTTCGTTCTTCTGCTAGATTGTCCGACTTGGACTGGAATTACTTAAGTATACTATTAACTAACTATGTTTCTTTTGAGAGCTCTATGCAGTGTTAGTAAATGATAAAATCTAAAATAAAAAATAAATCAACCAATTAAGTTGTAGAAGTTCTTAATTTTATTTATTGTTGCTCATTAATTATTTTTGCTTGAGCTGTTTTAGGAGTGCTTATTTGTAAGTTAGATTTTTAGCTAAACCATTGATATGGTTAAAATCCATGATGATTTCATGGCAATCTACACACAACAGAAACAGCTCTTCACTCATGTTTCCCCACAGATGACTTGTGCTTTTTTTCCAACTTTATTTTAGTAGTCCTTGACATTGCAGCTCCAAAGGACAGACCTTTAAATTAACAGTGTGATGTAATGTATTGCATTTTTTTTCATTCTCTCTGGAAACGGCTTCTACTACGGGTGTGCAAACGATTTTTTATTCAATTCAAACAATTTTCGATTCGAATTGATGCTACTCGATTCAAAGCAATACGGCATTTTTCTATCCATACTTGTCAATGGAGTGAAATAACAATAACTAAATTTACCACATTTGTGTAATGCAAATTTTTGTTGATGTGGTATTAGGGGCATATATATAAAAAAAAAAAACCAACAAACAAAAAAATAAAAACAAAAAACAAAACAAAAAAACAAAAACACAAAAAAGCACAAAAAAAATAACAAAAAAACAAAAAAGCACAAACAATAAACCAAACAAAAAAATAAAACAAAAAAACAAAACAAAAAAACAAAAATTAAACAATTAAAGCAATATTTACATGCAAAGAATTTATTAAATGAGAACGCCTTCAAAAAAGAAATGCAACAGCAACGCTCCTGTATGCGTTTTTTGTATGTGGATACTGATTCCCACATGAATCAAATTGTGTTTTGACCACCACTGAATCGAATCGCAACTCGATGTATCAAATCGAAACAAATCGGAATTTCGTTGCATTTTTGAAATGTATGCATCGCACACCCCTAGCTTCTACAGACATTCCTCTGTAGTTGCTACTCTGTATGTCTTTGAATTTATCTCGTATTCACTGTTGTTAACCAACTGTAAATTACGACTGTCAGGTTAGGGACAGTGATCGACTAGATCCTAACCTCTGAAAATCGTCATTTACAGGTAAATAAATAACAATTGAGAATTATACATTTATAACTTAGAATAAATTAAGGGTATAGAAATAATACATTTAATATAAATTTATTTTTCATTTTAACCTTAAATCAACCAAAGGACTGAAATTGTCCCATTTTGTGAGAATGACCTGACTATTATATTCGCTGCCACTACAGAAACCATCTACCGCGACCATTATAGTCGCGCTGCCAGTTGGAGGGTTAAAGGTAATGTTATGTTTTACTGCAATCCTGCATAATTTGTGCTTTTTGTTGTCTCAGGTTACCTGTTACTGCAGCATCCAAAAAAGCGTTCCCACCTGCCCCTCCTCCTATTGAGTTTGAAGAAGAGCAGACTGAAGCAATGAACTTATCATCCACTCCATCCATTCCCAGGATGACTTCTCCTCCAGCTGTCTCTCCTACGATATCTGCTTCCTCCAAGTCCCCAAAGTCACCTGGACACTCATCCAACCCACCAATTGTGTTGAGAATTTTCAAAGGAACAGCTCAGTTGGTAACTCCTGGAGAAGATTCAGCATCCCCAACCTATTCCCCGACAATTGAAGAATTTAAAGAAAAGGACAAGGAGAAAGATAAAGAAAAGAAGAAAAGTTCCACCACTCCTGAGAGGAAATCGCGACGTAGAGGACACAGCACTGAAACAGCTGGAAATGTGTCACCAAAAAGGTTACGAGAAAGACACAAAGGTGTGTCATACACCGAAACTGACCCTGAGACTGACTTTGACTATGAACCTCTTTCACAACCCACGGCAACTACCTCTAGATCTCGTTCTGAAAGATCATCCAGATCTGAAGACAGAGCAACACGATCCGCCAGTTCTGAGGAAAAAGCTCCAAAAACTGTCGCTTCAGAACCACCACCTTTGGCACAAGTTACTGAGTCGATCCCTGGTCCTCCTGAAAAAGAGACTTCTGAACAGATAGGCACAAGTACAATAACTCCAGTTTTGGAAGTCCAAGACAGTGAAACTGTAGAGGATATATCAAAACAAGTGGAGGATTCAGCCAAACTCAAAGAAGCAGAAAATCTTTTAGCTAGTACGTATATGGACTTTAATGCAGCAGAAAAGCAATTATTAGATGTAAGGAGTAAGAAGACAGCTGTAGACATCGAAAGAGAGAAACTACTTGCAGTTTTAGGTGGAGACGATAGCGACGAACAGACTCCAGGACAAGGTGAAGAGAAAGAGGATCATCAAACGATAGAACAAAATAAACAGATCGAAAGTGTGGAAAACGACTGGTTCTCAGACAGTGAGGGTAGTGAACAATTAAACATGCCAAATGAAAATGAAGCAATAACCGAGACTCAAAGCCGCAAGGAAGCGCCTATGACAGCGAAAACACCAAAGAAGAGAAGTATATTCAAGTCTCGGCAACAGGGAAATGACGCAAATAACCCTGGTAGAAAAAAGCGTTTTGGGCTGTACAAGCACAAGTGGAGTGGTAGTGATGGACCTCCAGGCTCAGCTACTCCTACCCAGACCAGGCCAGAGGAGAAGGTACATGTGCAGACACTAGAGGAGGAGTTTGAGGAATCCGAGGCTCTCACCAGGGTAACCTCCTATCCAGAACCTGATGCTGACAGCATGGATGCTGAGGCCATCACTAGCATCAAGTGCACAAAGAAAGTAAAAGAGGTAAGCTTCACATTGGACGTGCTAATATCCCAAAAATGTAGTTTAAAAATATATTATCTAGTGTCTTTTGCTGTCCTGGTAGTAGAGGTGTAAAACAATTTACTTTAATATCTTTGAATAGCCTCTAATATCAAATGACTGTTGTCCTCAATATTGAATCTAGGCTTATAGGTTTATTAATTTTTGTTTGTCTTCTCCAATATCAAGATTTAACTTAAGATACAACATAAAACTCGAGGGCCTGGGTATTGGGGATGTTTGTTAGGATAGAGGGCTTACTTGAGGAAAGAGATCACTCTGGCACCTGAAATTCAACTGTAGGCCTAGTCTATAGGTATAATTCACTTATTACTGACATTACTGACAGAATTTTTGTGTTCATGGTACCAGAATAAACTCTTTCTCTTTTGGGTAAGGCTGTAAAACAATTCAATATAAGTTATTTAAGTGGCGTTCAAAGGCTTTAGAACCAATGTTATTGTACTCAATTTTGAAATAAATGTTTAAAAAAACAAGTACGTAGTTATAGTTTTGTAATTTAATATTGTGTTTTTGCTAAGCATTCTAATATACTGGTTTCTGTTTACAGTTCTATACAGTTGTAAGAAATGTAAAAAAAGCTTACCAAATCCAGGAGTCTGGCGAATTTCAAGAATTTAATGATGATGTAGAATATATTTTAGATGCCTTACAGGATAATAATCCCATAGCAACACGGTGAGTTGGTGTCCAACCGGTCCAGCCTTCGCCTTTCCTCTCCTGGTTCGGCCTTTCCTATGATGACCCTCCCATCCTGTTGTGTACAATTGTTTTTTATAATGTTCCTTCACTCTTAAACCACAAACTTAATACTTTGACTGCTTAATACAGGGACAGCATTCTCATCAAATTGATTTAAATGTAGATACCAGTTACAGACGTGGGTTGATAAATTGGTGATTTTTTCAGGTTTTATCAGCGGTTTTGTAGATAAATCAGTAATTGCTGCTGACCCAAGTTCTTTGTGTAATTGAAAATCAAAATGAATCCATTACTGCATATTTTGTAATTTGCTTGATTTCCTACCAAGGTTTCCTAGGCTTTGCAAAGTACATATTTTTAATAATTAATATTTTCTTGCATGTTAATAAGTATATTAATAATAACTAGAGGTCGTCCAGTGGTCGAAAACTCAAACCAAAAATATGTAATGCACATGACTTTTCTATTTTCACCCCAAGCTGAATGAATTGTGATCCTTGTTAGCTTTATATTATATAGATTCTAGTATTTTATTTTTTCCAAATCAACACTTATATTCAAATTGCATAATCAATCATCGAACATGTAGGCTATAGCAACAGGTTCCTAAGTTGTGTTGGCGTAACAAATTTTAGTTACATTCAGAAATGATTTTCTGATTGTAGTCCTAATAATCTTTTTTGTCCTAACAGGTGCCTATCAGCAATTACTTTAGCTTCAAAATGCATGGCTCCAGCCTTCCGTATGCATGTTAGAGCTCACGGAACTGTTGCAAAATTTTTCAGAGCACTTCACGACGCTACCAAAGATCAGGTATCAAACTTAAACAAAGTTGTTTTAACAATATCATGGTACTCATCATACTTCATGTGACACTGCCAAAAGTTAGTCTTAACTGGAATTAAACTCTTTCAGTCAGTAGCTCTTTAGAAGATTTTCTCACACTATCTTACACAAATAATATATAACCGGTTAAAAATTTCTTAGATTGTGTTGAATGATTTGATAAAAACTTCATCAATATCCCATGCTCGTCTTGTGTACATATGATGACAACTAACTGAAATCTGTTGATTCTCTTGTTTGTTATCAGCAAACTTGAGCATTAATTGCAGTAAACCCAGGAAGATACTACTACCACTATTTCTCCCTAATCCACATTTTGTCATCTGTTTGAGAAAACATTTTTGCACTTATTTAAAAGCTACTCACTAAGGCTGAACATTTTTCATTTTGTTACATAGGTTTACAGATGTTAAAATAATTAACCTTAGCAATCTCTGAATCTGTTTTCTCTATTCCTTATATTTTTGTTCATCACAATGAAAAAACTATTGGTGTTCCTTGGTCTGTTTTCAAACAGTTATCATTCTGTAAATAGTTGAGTGTCACTGAGGTCTGTTTTGACTGTTACAGAGCCTAGGCATGTGCACTGCCACAGTAATGTTTGTACTGAGTCAAGACCAGCTGAACATGGACCTAGACAGAGACTGTCTAGAGCTGATGTTGAACTTGCTGGAGAGTGACATCAGTCACACCTCAGCACTGGACGACTGCGGACTATCAGATGTACAGCTGCACAAGACTAGACAGAAAGTGAGGGAACTGTGTGCCGACATTCAGGCAAAGGGACACGCCAAGCACTTGAACCTGGACAACATCACAGTAAGCATTGACAGAATCCTCTTCATTTACATTTAATATCACAAAGGGATGGACGGACTACTGGATAATACTTGGGGGGATTTACATTTCCTTCCCGACTTTCAGGACTTTCTTTCAGAGATCAATAATGACAAACAAAATTAATTTTGCAGTCTTTGTGACACTGTTCTATAAAATACAATTATGGTTAAAAATACTGGGCAAAAATACTCTGGTAGGTACCGGTAAAAAAAACTTTCAACTAAATAAATTTCATATTTGGTGCAATTCAACTGTGAAACATCAGTGTACTGCAAGCCAACCTCAAACAAGTATCCAAACTGACCACCACTGCATTTTGATTAACAGTTTAAAAGCCTGATATAAGACCAGTAGAAAAGCAGGATATAAGCTTTAGTTATCATTAATTTAGTATTCTGTAGCTATTACAATGTCATCATGACTAAAATCTGCATTTGCAGTAACATCGTCAACATGTAAAGGTGTGCATTAAAAACGCAATAGGATCAATAATACTATTTCTAGGGTGTCACGTAATACCCTGGTAACGTCATCTGAACTCTTGAAACGAAGAAATAAAATAACTATCCCACTGATCGTGTCTTCCGCTAAAAGCAGGCATCACGGAACAGTAGTACCTTGGTAATAGATTATTTAGAATTCAATTTGATTATTTTTGTAACGTCGTCTAAATTTTTTGAACAAGAAAGTGAAATAACTCTTATTGTGTCTTCCTATTAACGGCGAGCATCACGAAATATATAGTACCATGGTTATACCATTACTTTTGTAACTTTGTCTGAACTATTGGAACAAGCGAGTGAAATAACCCTGATACTGTCTTCCTTTTAATGGCGACCAGCTGTAACGTCCTTTACAAGGAAGTAAAGGGCGAGAAAAATAATAGTATTATTATTTCATCTTTTACCATAAAGCTGAGGTAACACTATTTCCCATCTCTACAAAATTTCCCGCAGTCGTCTCGCTACCGTCAACATGTCTCACAATCACGAAGTCATCATGGTTCGTGAAACCATCGTGAAAATCTCTCGGAATCACAGAGACATTATCATTGTCATACCGCTATACCAGCAACATCTCCCACGACTGCAAAGACGTCATTTGCACACAGCAAAAGCGCTAAAAATTAAAAACAGATCCAGTCCCGAAAAAATCCAGAATCAAAATCGTATCCTTATGACCAAGAATACAATATTCCCAAAGTTTTCAGTTCCCTAACATTATGTTAATTCAAGGTTGGTGATGTAAAATGTTGATAGATGTAAAGAGTTTGATTTTAATCTGTTGTAATTTTCTTGAATTTGCTTGACCCAGGTTGGTCATCTAGCTATGGAGGCACTGCTAAGTCTTACATCCAGGAGAGCTGGTGAATGGTTCAAGGAGGAGTTGAGACAACTAGGAGGTCTGGAGCACATTGTCCAAACCGTCAACGACTGCAGTAATGTCATTGACTACCAAGTGCAGTGGTCACCTCCCATGTTGGACAAGCTGCGCAAAGTTGACAGATGTTTGAGGGTGCTGGAAAATGTAAGCCAATTATTGATACTAATCAATTTGTACTGTCTGCCCATATAATATTTTGTTACTCGTTATTTACTTTGACTCTCCAAATTTCTGTATGGTGCTTAATAACTTTATGAACCATATCCATACAGTGGCATTAAAACAGGCAAATGTTATAAAATTATGTCTTCTTAATTTCTTATTTTTAGCATATATAGTGTTGCATTTATCATTGTATAATTATACTTGTCTTATTTAGAGTACTCAAAAATTTGATCAAACTTTAATGAATTTTAACAATATTTTATTCAGTCAACTCATTAAAATCAACAATTAAAAATTGTGTGGTTACTATTCTAGTCAATGCAATACCCGCAATACAGGAGCGCATTGTTGTTGCGTTTCAATTGCGAAGGTGTTCTTATTTAATTAATTATTTACATGTAAATATTGCTTTAATTCTTTTATAATTTTTTGTCTTGACACAAAAATTATGAGAGGTTATGATCTGTAGGTAACGCTACAAAATGAGGAGAACAACATGTATTTGCTGACATACAAGGACGGGATCATCGTGGATACACTAGTAAGGTTGTTCAGGGTGTGTGATGCCGAACTGACCAGATACCCTGTCTACTCCATCACTGACAAGGAGTCTGTAGGATATGTAATCAAAGAGTGCCTCATCGCTATACTCAAAGTGCTCATCAACCTCACTCACGACTTCCACAACAAATGTAAGAGCTATCTGTAATTATTCATATCCCGGAATACAATAGAAATGGTTGTTTCAGTTTAAGAAACTATTGTTCAGATCTTGAAAATTCATTCAGAACAATTAGTTGTTGATGGTTTGAAATTGGGCCTTGCCTTCCTTGATTATTGTACTTTTGATAAATACTCCTGACAAATAGCGGCTAAAACGTACCTTGTTAGAAAATCCTGTACATGTTGGGTGGGGTGTAGTAAAACTTCTGTTACATATATTGTGGCAATTATTAGAACTCTGCCTTCGTCAGGCTAACAAAATGATCCACTTATTAAGATATTGTTAGAACAATAAAATATTTGTATAAATTGTGTTTAACTTGTTCTGGCACCACCTTAAGAAGTGTATCCTTTTGTTAGCCTGTGGAATGAAACATATGTAGCAAGATATACTACACACTACGCGTAGATCTAAAAAGACCTTTGGTATATTTCATGGTTGTGAATGTTATAGCATTCGGCTCCTCTCTGATGGGGGGTAGACAAGGAGTTGTAGAAGCTACTTTGCATGTGCTACTGCAGACACCTGAGTATGTCCCAGACGAACAGAAGTTTGACATGACTGTATTGGTAAGTCTGTGAATTTCAACTTAGTACCCACTCGGATAAAATGAAAAACAAGTTTATTTTGCTGAAAATTTACATTACAGTAAAAATTTGATCCAAATAATTACACATTTTTATTAAATATAACTTTTAAAGCTAAAACAAAGCAAAACTTACTTAAAAATTGTGACTGTTTAAACTTTGTGAAACTTAAATTCAGGTTTTAAATAGTTTTCTATAGGCTCTTGCCTGGTTTTATTTTTCACATTACTTCAGGCTAGGTAGGCTTAGAGGTTGGGGCATTATTACTTAAATAATATTCATTGGTCAAATTAATTCATTCATAGGAGGATTTAAATCCAGAACCTCAAGGACATAAGTCCTCTGCTCTACCACCATCGTCTGCACACTGCAAAATGCAGACAAATTGTGAACTTATTAACGTCTTGCGTGATCACGGTAAAATCGAGACCATATTTCAAAGTTATTACAAAATTGTGAACATCTTTTGCGATCATTGTTTCCTGCCATAGCTAGGAAATCGTCAATTTTCGCATCATTGCCAACGCTTTACATGATCCTAAACGCTCCACTTGGCTCATCTCAACCTGAGCTTGGCTTAATAGTCCTAATAACTTTCAGCCTAAACTGTACTGTGTTGAGCCCACTGTTGACCTGACCTGACCCAACTTAAAGAAGACCCATAGCTAAAAGTTTCACTTGGAGACTCGTGATGAACGAGTATATCTATAAAATTATGCATGTACTTATGAATTGAATAGTAAAATTATTGTTGAGCTTGAGCAAAAAGTAGTAGTATAGTAGTAGCATTTAAAATATATTTTGGTCAAATTTAAATGAGAATTAAATTATATGGGTAACATTTATTTATGAAAACTATTTGTATCGTTTACTTTATTTCTCTTTTCAGGCGTTAATTCTACTTATAAACTTTGTCGAGCACAGTGAAACAAACAGGAAGCTGTTAATAGAAGCTAACGCTCCCACTGATTCAGAATCAATATTTGAGAGTAAGTTTGAAAATTTATTTTGTCATATCTATCTACTCTGGTTATCTATGTAAAACTCTACATAATTTTTGTGCTATATTTAAGCCTCCTTTGATGTTAATTTATTAAACATAAGGATTATTTAAATTAAGGGTTTGAGTTTTTGTTCTATGCTAGGCTTTTGCCTGGATTTTTCTTCACATTATTACTTGCTAGGCTTTAAGGTTGCAGCATCATTACTTAGATAAAATGCATTGGTCATTGGCAGAATTTGAACCCAGGACCTCAGGGACAGAAATCCCACTAGCTCTACCACTAGACTGGCTTGCTAACCAAGGTTTAGGTTTAGACGTAAAATTCATCAATGAAGAATGAAGTCATTCAATGGGATAAATTGTTTACAAATTTAAACTTATAAAAAGTAATTGCTTTTCTATATGTCAAGAAAAAATAATTAGCTTTATCCAAATAAATAAGGATAACATATAACATCTACCCAAGTCATCTCTTATAAATCTGTAGTTGTACAATCATAATGAAACACTTGTCTGGTAGTTACTCAGCCTACATCAGGGGTGAACGCTCTGGTGAAGTTGTTCTACCAGCAAGAGGAGCTGGCTCGGACAGAGGAGAAAAAGACTGACGCCATCTTAGACGGAGAGGAGAAACCTCAGGCATCATCACAGGAGGAGTTTGTAGAGGAGACTGTAGCTATGTGTAAGTTGAGTTGACACTCTCTTGCTAGAATAGACTAACAAAAATGGTCCGAAACAACAGCTGAATCTTAACAGATCATTTCCATGCAGTCAACTAGTATGCCAGTGATTAACTATCAATACTGGATTGTTTTAATGCTTGACAATCAATGAAGGGTAATTTATTCCATCTTCAAACAATACAATATTGTGATTGATTTCGTAAAAAAATACATCCTAATTTTGGCTACATTGTATTAAAACTATAAATTTCTAACTTTGAGTTCTGAGGAGCTCCACCCAAGAACTGTAAGGATCTCAATTCTTTTTTCCAGGTTTGTTAAACTAATACACAGAATAATATTACAGTAGCTATATTTAATATCTCAGATTGAGATTAGGCTGCATTAAACTAATTGTAAAAACATGAAAACAACAAACATCAGACATACACACACAGTGTAAATTATTCTGAGATAGAATGTGTAACAACAGATGACAATTAAAAATAATACTGAATGGAATCCTACTAATAATCAATCAACAAAGATAAAGAAGTTTAATCAATCTGCAAAATTGATGACTTATAAAACTATATTTCCATGTTAAAAAATTTCTCTGGTACTGTAAAAGGGGTTTGCAGAAAGCCAGACAGACAATTATTTTTTGAAAACCTTAAAAGGAAGTGATCTTGATTCACAATGCAGGTTGTTCATATTGGATCGTATCGGATAATAGGCCTGAATAAATTCTGTTGTAAATGTATTTCTTGTAATAAATTTCAGTGCTACAAAAGGCTGGAAGAAATATGGAGCATACACTTGTTGCAGCCTACATTGCATTGCTTCTGGGCTACCTAGTAATGGGAAACAAGGTAAGAATTGAAACAGAATACATTTGTCACCATTGCAGCTTGTGTTTTAGCAATTTATTAGAGAGGAACAAGATTGCATTTTTAGTTCTAGACGAGACAGGATTTTTATTTCTTATAAAATTTTGCAACGAGATCGAGACATGATTTCCCTTCTCATACATAACGGGAAATGTACGTTCGGCATTGAAACTGGATACTGTAATATTTTAAAATACCTTCTGATTTATGACAGATGACTGGTTGAAAAAAATAAATAATAATAGACAAGAATATTTAAAGTCTTTTATTAAAAAAACAGTAAAAAATATCAGTATAAAAAAATATTAATTTTAGGCCTGCCTTATTAAAAATAACTCTTCCTTATAGAAAACGTTCAACTTGAAAAATACAAAATTTATCAGTCTAAAACATCAATCTTTCTAGTAAAGTATCAAATCAAGTACAAATTTTTCAGTCTGGTGTTATTTTTAGAATGATTTTGGAGTAACTTGTTTTGCCTATGTTTACAGTAGTAAAACATGTCTCACACTGCTTACACTTAACAAAGCTTCTCATCATTAGCAATGTCAAAACAAAAATTTTTAAAACAGTTTTAGCAATAATTTACATGTTAAGAATCAAGTAAATAAGAACGCCTTCACAAAGGAAATGCAACAACAACGCGCTCCTGTATTGCGGGTATTGCATATACTTTCTGCCGGGGCTTATAAGGTTTTTTTTATAATTTGGTCCAAAAAAAATCTTGATCAAAATAAAATCTCGTCTCGTAGAAGGAGATTTAAAATTTTTCCAAATTTTGAGACCCGTCTATCCCTACAATTAATTTATATTAGCAGTTTCTATCACATTTTGAAATCCTAAACAACCGGGAACAGAACAATACACCATGCATGATGTTTGATCAAAAGAATTGAGCGGTATGATTGTTTAAAGTTATAATAGACCTACTCAAAGTAGATTATTTTGGACCAATGCTGCCTCCATGATAAACCTTAAAATGTAAGTTTTAAAATCAGAAGCCCAAGTTATGATTATTAATTTATGAGTCTAAAAGTTATAAGCAATTATTTAAACAAATGAAATAATACAATTCTGGTTTTTACTTTGTCGTCACTTTTTACTAAGTTTTAAACTTTTCTTTTTTTCGATTTTGATGCTATCCTGTTTTGTTCCAATCTATTTTGACCCTAAAAATGTGTCAATATGCTAATTTATTACATGATCAATCATACAGACTAACTTGGTCAATTATTCAGATTAATCTATATACTTATTTAATACGCTAGCAGATTTTTTGTGACAATTACTCCTCCGAAACTACTGAACCGATTGTCATGTTTTTGGTGTCATTGGAAAGAGAGTAACGTGAAGTTGTGCAGGAAACTTTCTTTTTAGGGAAATACTGAGAGAGTGAGGCCCTGAAGCCCTTTAAAGTTTTGAACTTCTCCATAAGATTAACATTGAAAACAAAAATTGTTATGAAATTCCAGCTGTTGTCAGAAATCAAAAGTGAGAAGAAGAGCATTTTAATTATAAACAGTTAACAAGTTAGCTAATTTAACAGTTTCCTACAAACATTTGCTGACTTGGTTGAAATTCGTTTTAAAATAACGCCTGTAATATTTTACAATTGCTCGAATTCGAGCAACAGGGACACTAGTTAGGAATAAATAGGCTTGTATAAAATTAATATGAAGATAAAAAATTACTTGTCTTATGACTTTTCTTTGGCTTTTCAGGAGTATGAGACATTCGTTCGCCAAAACCTTCCAGAAGGGAATTTTACTGTGATGTTGACTGTGCTGCAAAAGTTTTTCAACTTTATGACTCTAACGTCTGCTGTAAGTTGTCCTTTTCACCATTGTTTAGGTATTTAAATTCAAGTGTAACAATTTGGGTGAATCAATGCTTCTTGGTGTTGAAACTGCCGCAGTAAAAACTTCAAAAAGAAAAAAAATATGTGTCTTCAAGATTGTCTCGTGTGGTATATCTTTTAAATCTTTTGTAAATCAGGTTCCTATGAAATATGTAAGGACGGCTTATTTTGCATACTTCCAGTCACTTATGAGATATGGATTGGTGCTTTGGGGTGGAAGTGGTAGAATAAAAGAAATTTTGATTCTTCAAAAAAGGGCTTTAGGAGCTATGACTGGGACACACCCTGATCATTGCAAACTTCTTTTTATAGATATTCAAATCCAAACTGTGGTAAATTTGTTCATTTATGATCTAATTGTTTGTATATTAAAAAGCCCTGAATATCTTCAATTTAATAAACACAGTCATAACACTTTTTAAATTACCGCGTTGTTAGAATCCCATAGCCTTAGTAAAACTGGTACTCGACACATAACTTTATCAATTAAAGCATATAATTCAGTAAAACGTAATATAACTCGGGGTCACGGCGTGATCGTCGGTATGACTCGCGATCGCGATGGGATCGTTGTTATGACTCCGCGGCTACGGCGTGATCGTCGGTATGACTCCGCGGTCATGGCGTGATCGTCGGTATGACTCCGCGGTCATGGCGTGATCGTCGGTATGACTCCTCGGTCATGGCGTGATCGTCGGTATGACTCCGCGGTCACAGCGCGATCCTCTGTATGGCTCCGCGGTAACGGCGTGACCATCGATATGACTCCGCGGTCACTGCATGTCGTCGGTATGACTCTGTGGTCACTGCGTGATCGTTGGTATGACTTCGCGGTCATGGCGTGATCGTCGGTATGACTCCGCGGTCACGGCGCGATTGTCTGTATGGCTCCGCGGTCGCGGCGTGTCGTCAGTATGACTCCGTGGTCACGGCAAGATCGTCGGTATGACTCCAAGGTCACAGCGGGATCATCAGTATGACTCGCGTTCAAGGCGTGTCTTCGGTATGACTCGTGGTCACGGTGCGATTGTCAGTGTGACTCCATCGTCACGGCATGATCGTCAGAATGACTCGCTGGCATGGCGTGATCGACGGTATGACTTCGCGGTCACAGCGGGATCGTCGGTATGACTCCGCGATCCTGGCGTGATCCCAGGTATGACTCCCGGCCACGTGTGACCGAATTAAATTTGGTGACAGTAGCGCACAGTGGCTCAGAAGAATGCGCCTATGAGTAGTGGGGGGAATGGCTTCATCTCCGGTAATGTATTGGGCATAGGGATTGCGAGTCTATATTATTCTTTGCTGGTATTGTCATCTCGTTGTGTACACAATGTAACATTTACCTATAACTTTGAAGGAATAGAGAAGCCCTTTATTTATTTTATTTTTAGGATTGTACTCAAAACACGATTTTACCTGATTAGATTCGTGCTGTTCCTATACTGTAATACCTTATGCATTAAATTAATAAGTACAAGTAAAAACACGGCTTTTTCCGGATATTATATTGACTGACATTATAAAAATACCATAATAATCTTCACTGCTATCCACCACGCCCCCACCGACGCCACCCTTCGCCCGCTAACGTGTCACCCGCCACCTGCTGCGGCCGGGCGCCCCTAGGTACATGGATAGTGTGCCTTATGGTAAGTCCGCCACCGACCCTAGCATAGGACTTCTTCAGAAAGTAGTACCGGTACTACATTGATAAGAAATGTCCTATAAATGTATGTACTATGATTGCCTCAGTTTAAGCTACATAAACTCCATCTTTGATAAAACTACACAACTGTCTGCGTGTCATTTTCTTACAATGTTCATGGTATTAGTTTGATTGTTTATTGACTTGTTGCAGGCTGGATCAGGGAGCAGTAGAGGAATCATTGCAACTGAGAAAGTTATCAAATATCTGACAGATAGCGACAAACAAATCCAGCTGACGTGAGAATCTCAGTAGGCTAGCTCTTGTGGTGAGTGTTGTTGTTGTATTGCAGCTAAAGTGTGTTTCACTACGAAATCGGGGTTTTACAGTGATACAGACAGCTTTATGTTAGTAAACAAATCGGTGTTGTACAGTGATACAGACTCCTTTGTGTTAGTAAAAAATCGGGGGGAAATCGGTCTCTTACATGGATACAGACAGCTTTGTGTTAGGAAAAAAATCGGGGTTGTATAGTGATACAGACTCCTTTGTGTTAGTAAAAAAATCAGTCTCTTACATGGATTCAGACAGCTTTTTGTTAGGAAAAAAATCGGGAAAAAAATTGAAAAAAATCGGATCCATCAAAACCGGATCCAGCCCAAGATCCGGAATTTTTTGGATCCGATCCGGTTCCGGTTCTAGCTCGGATCCGGTAGTCCGATATCCGGATCCGACCATCACTAATAGTCTCTAAAAAAATCAAAACTGTCGATAATCTTCAGGGTGGCCGAAAAGTCCCTTTACACAATATTGTAGTACGTATTTCACTGTTATAAAGACGGCTGATCAGCGAATATTCGTACTTGAGTAGTAAGGCAACATTGGGGGAGAGAATGAAGCCTCACTCTTCCTTTCCAACCATCGCCACAGCCCTAGGATGCGGTGACACCAGGTAGAGTGTCACGGCTTTTGCACGAGTCACCCTAGAAATGCTTAAACAAATTAGCTAAAGAACTTGGAGTCGAGTCAAGCTTTGCCAAGACAATGGAGGTATGCATGCCGATATTTTGGACCATAAATGATGTTCACTTGGTGTAGTCCACAATAAATTTCTGCTTAAAATAGATTTCTATGGTTTTAATCAACATCAAATTGAATTTACCTTTAACCCTCCAAGTGTCCATAGTTTAGGCCTTAATGTCCACCTATTTTTGGCGCATTTGCAAGGTTTTATTAAAACGGATCTGAGAAGCTTGAAACGATGTTAATTCTAATGTTCTATATACCATTTTGTTTGGAAAATCATGGGCTTCAATATCATACATAAAACATAAGGAATATTTGTTTCAACAAAATTTTTTAGGTAAAAAAAAATTATTTTGGAAAAATTGAAAAAAAAATAAGTTTGCGCTCAATGAAATTGTATAAATTATAGGCCTATAAATATTTGAAAATAGTCACTTTGTTCTAAATTTAATGTGGATTACAAATATATAATCATATACAAAGGTAAGTTATCAAATAAATAAGTTATGAGTGAAAAACGGATTTCAGTACATAGCGTTAAGCTAAGAATGCATAGCCTAACCATAGCTAGGAATCTGGCTGATAATTTACATCAATATCACTACCTACTTCTTCAGGATCATCAACCAGCCCTTCAAAATCACTTAAATCTTCTTATAATGCACCACGTATATCACTACTTTTGATTTTTAACACTAAAACAATGATAAACGTAATAAAACACATCAGTCATCGGTCCGAGGATAACCAAGCTGTTTACGAATACGCACGTCAGCTGTCTGCTACAATTACAATCGGCTCGGAGAACATACAGCGCTGAGACAGACCTCTGGAGAAAGCTTAGAATATAACGGAAAGAACGATACCTAACTCGATCCAGTTCAATCCGATTCAGTCAGTCATAGAGCCTTCGCCGTAAACGATGTTCGTGCGTCGAAAAATCGACGCGTGACACTACACAAAGTGTGTAGCGCGTTGATTTTTCGACGATGGACACTCGGAGGGTTAAAGGGACTTTTCGACCACCCTGTATATATATATATATAAAGCTAGGATGGATTTGAACTTTTGAGAAAACTGTAAGCCGTACATCTATCAACCGCATACTTCATTCAATAAAAGGTATTGATGTGACACTTCCCCAAAAATATCAGTTTTTCGATAAACCCCCTCCTAAGGGCAGGAACCTCATTTAAAGGTATATATTTATGGTTTGGAAAGAACTGATAAATGTAAACAAGTAATACAAACAGATTATAACAATTAACAAAACATGATTTTATCTTCAGATGGCAGGCAGTAGATATTAGACATAGAATACTTCTAACACATTTTCTCAGGTAAACCAATTGAACTCTATCCCTTTATAACAAAAATATCAGCCACTTTTACTTTCCTTTAAAATATCTGTTTAATAGAATTTTTGTTTTAGAATATTAGTTTATTTTATCAGTAAGGCTCTTTTCGGCCCTAGCTCAAGTTTAAGTTTCTTGGAGGTAAAAAAATACATTTCTGGCCAGTGTTTTAAACAGTATTTTTGTCATACTGCACCATTATTTATGCTGGCTAAATCAGAAAACAATAGTTTAGTACATTGTTTTCTGTAAAAATAGCTCTCAGAATTATTTCCGTTCTGTTTTCCTTCCTTATATGAACAGCTGACACCGTTATTCAGAAGCAAGACATATTACTCCGCCAACGCAATAATGAGTTTAAATTTGTAAAATTTACCTATATGTCGGAAATGTACAATGTGAATCGGTAATAAAAACAAAATCAGTTTGATAATTATGTGCTAACATTGTTAATCAGGACTATTTTCTTCATCAAAATCAACAGATGAATTTTACAGCTATAAACACATTAAGCTTATGTCCATTTGTTTTTTGAAAGAGTGTTTTACACCACACATGTATTTTAACAGCCGTGTTTACTGTCAGCCAGTCTCTATAGTGTGTTGTATTTGTTTCCAGCTCAACTGCCAGAACCAGGTTCCAGAACTGCCATTGTTGTTTGCTTCAGGAGAAGGAGCAAGTTGACGAGTCTGTATACAAATGTTAATAGTCCAAATGTGTACATTCACATGTAATTGTATTTATTTTGATTGTATCATTTAGCTTGTATATAGATTATTTATATTTAAAATATTATTTTACAATTTTTATAAAGTTGTTAAGGAGTAGGACGAGGCTTAATCGAGCTACTGTATTATACCACAGTTTGTTTATATACACCACACTCTTTAAAGTACAAATTTATGTGCGTAATTATTATCTTGAATTGATTTGCATGGAATTAAAAGAGTCTTTAGACCTAGAGTAATTTTAGTTCTAATTAAAATTTGATTAATGACGCATTATAATGCAGTCATTGGATAAATGATATGGTAATGTTAATACATTTAAAAAAGAGATAAATATATATATTTAATTTTAAAAAAACGCATGGATAAATTAATGTTAGTTATTATACCCAAGATAAATTGTCATATTTATTCAAACCAATTATTTTTTGTTTGTTTTTATTTTAGGACATAAATATTCTTATTTAGGACATTCTTATTTCTGGTTAAAGAAATTCTTGTCTTATTCTGTGATGATTTTATTTTTGAGGCTCAAAGCCAACTACAACTGGTTCATGTAATGTCTTTCATCTAATGAATTTAGATTTAAAGTATGGGCCAATAGAGTCAGCAGTTGGCAATTGGCGGCAGCCAATACCAAGACCGGGCTAGGGTGACATTGTAACATCGCCCGTTGACTACCACTCGGCTACCATCGGGAGCCGTGGCGACACTAATTAAAATATACTAAACAAAATTTTCAAATCAGCAGGTAAAAATTTCCACCGTGGAATAGTTATTTGTGTAACTAGTGAGCGAAGTGGCACACGAGAGAAATGTTTACGCACAAGCTGCAGGAGAGTGGAAAGTTTCTCGAGTACAGCAAAGGCAGTTTGCACTAGTGTTACACATTATAATTTTCCTACAGTTACTATAAAGCATATAAATAAATAATTAGTCTTTCAAACACTGTACAACACGTTTTTAAGTTACGTTAAATCCAAACATTGAACTAAATGGGAAACGCTGCACAAGCTGATCGTAGTCGTAGTATCTTTAATTGTTACCAACTTATTTCCAAGCGTACTTGTATTACGTGCATAATACAAGCACGCTGTTTTGTGTTTGGTTGGAATACTGGTGTGCGACAAAGTAAAAAAAGTGTGTGGTAAAGTAAGTAAATGCAGTAATTAGCAGCTTTCTGTACTATATAATCAGTGCAAGGAAGCCGACTTTGTAGGGTGACTGTAGGAAAAAAAATTTGTCAAACTAAAGTATTAAAAAATAACCAGAGCAAACCTAATAGGATGGTACTTAGATATTAATGTAACATTTATAAATCAATAACTAGATTTGGCAACAACGCTCAAACCTCATTGGGCTCCTTCGAAGTCACGTGTTTAATTGGCTCCTTCAACTGCAATCTCTAGTGGTCCATATTTTAGTTAAAAACTTTTGTGTTTCAATATGTTTGTACTGCTTGTAAGGTTGTTTTAACTTTGTTATGTTTTAGTTCAATTGTTTTATTTTAATGATTTATAATTAATTGCCCTTACTGTACGACTGATATTTTGGTTAATTATTTAAATGATATGTAAGACTTTATTTAGGCTGTTTCCAATAGTTATCTGATAGTTGTCTGATGTAATGTATTTTCAAGTACTTATCCGTATAGCCTCACTTAAAAGTTTTTATTTAGTGTATTATTGAATAATGTTAAATACTTAAACTCTAAACTCTGGATCCAGTTTTGTTACCATAACAAATCAAATGTTAATAGTTGACCATAAACCCTAATATATGTTTTTATTTTTCTTCTTATTTATTAAGCTTTATTTTCAAAATATGTGAATAAATTCATACAGAAAAGTTATCAAATAAATTTTTTTCTTACAATACAATAATCTTTAGTTAATTATGAAGTTCAGATCTAGACAAAATCCAAACATCCCAATTTGTTTAAAACATATTGTGATATATTATTGGATTTAAAGAATAAAATATCTATGCAGTAATTTAAAGATTGGATACCGGGAATTGTAAAAAAAATGAATTGCTTGTTTAATTTAACAAGAGTATGTAGTTTGCACTTTTAATATTTATTCAGTGACATTTGAGTATTTAATCTCAAAAGTCTATAATATTCAATATTGTTTCAGTCAAATGAATTACACATCTTGTTTATCAAAAAGATGAAAGTCTTTTTGCATTGTAAGTGTTTAGATATTTTTGCTCATACATTACTCAATATTTTCCCCATCATACATGTCACGCCAATGGATAATTTTGTAAAGGAAATATAATACCACAATTAATAATACTTATTTGTAAGCAATGTCATTAGCCTATTGCTACTTTGTAAGCATTTTCATTTGACACTGCTCATTGGTTTCTCAAGAGATGGACATTGAAAGTGCATTGTGTAAATTGCTTATTTATTACTCAAGGAAATAGTTCGGAATGTACACTTCAACATTTCATAAGATGACATATTTTGTTTTTGAACGACATGCTTTTAGGCGAGGTGTTATTATTGACGTAGATTTTTGTGGGCTTCACTCACCTTTATTTTTGTTTGTGATGTCCGGGACTCGTCAAAACACACATAAACACACATATATACAATACAAAATCATCCACGGCATCAAGGTCCGACGTTTCGCGGAACTCAAAACAACGTTCCGCTTCTTCAGGGTATTAATAAACTATTTTTAGCCCGCACGCGGGTCGAACGCCTAACCACGACTACCCTGAAGAAGCGGAACGTTGTTTTGAGTTCCGCGAAACGTCGGACCTTGATGCCGTGGACGATTTTGTATTGTATATATGTGTGTTTATGTGTGTTTTGACGAGTCCCGGACATCACAAACAAAAATAAAGGTGAGTGAAGCCCACAAAAATCTACGTCATGACATATTTTGCCAAAGATTATATGCTATACCCTTGATCCTTGTACAACAAGGGCTAATAATTTAAACCTTTTGCTGTACATCTACTGTGAAATCGTCTGATACTAATTATCCATTAGATGCACTAGTGGTTGATTAAAATTTAATAATAATTTCAATTACTGTTTTTGTCAGCTCACTTTTACGTTAGAGCTACTTTAATTATTGGCAGAATTCCAACAAAATGTTTAGATAAGTACAAGTATACAGTGTTTACTGAAAATAGTGAATCATTATTTTTTTTTACTAAAGTCTTAACATCAGGTTTTTAAAGTATAATACAAACTACACAGTGTGTAAAATGTCACCCTCTTTTATATAGAACATTTTATGAATGCAGTTTTTGGTATCAAAATTCCTGCGAAACCCTTACCTTTTGATGACACTAAAAGAGCAGTCTTCTTTTTTATGTTAACTTTGATAAAAATCATATTTAACAAATTCAAAGATATAGGCAAACTAAATGTATTAACGTTTAATGCAATAACTTTTTTTATGTATATTAAATGCTCACTATTTAAAATCTGTAATTTGTTCCAAACTAAATAGATTGTAATTGAGGTTTGGAATGTATTTTTGCAAAGTGTAAAATTTACTTTGAAGGATAAATGTATAATTTGTAAATATTGCAGATTCTTGTATCCAGAATTAAAAAAAATAAAAGATTCCTACAAAGTTAATAAGTTTATTATTTTGCAGTATTTACCTTGTGTGAATTTGTGAAAGTCTTTGTTGGATTTCAATTTCACCTAATTTTGTCTTAGGTATTCAAAAAAGGGTAGATTAATTGAACTGAACTACATCAATTGTGATATGGAAAGCAAATAGGGATCTCTTGTCGGGATTTTTCGATTTTGAGTTATTAGTGATGGTGGAATCCGAATCCTAAAAAAAATCGAGTCTCGAGTCTCAAGTCCCAAAAATAATTACAAACGGGCTTATGGTGATTAAAAAAGCAAGAACAGAATAGGAACCATTGAACACTATAACCACCACCACGTCAATAACCTCTATGGTTAGTCAATGTCACAGTACTGTATATTGACGTCAATAACCTTTATGGTTAGACAATCTCACAGTACTGTATATTACTACGTCAATAACCTCTATGGTTAGTCAATGTCACAGTACTGTATATTGACGTCAATAACCTTTATGGTTAGACAATCTCACAGTACTGTATATTACTACGTCAATAACCTCTATGGTTAGTCAATGTCACAGTACTGTATATTGACGTCAATAACCTTTATGGTTAGACAATCTCACAGTACTGTATATTACTACGTCAATAACCTCTATGAGTAGTCAATGTAACAGTACTGTATATTACTACGTCAATAACCTCTATGAATAGTCAGTGTAACAGTACTGTATATTACTGTACGTCAATAACCTCTATGAATAGTCAATGTAACAGTACTGTATATTGACGTCAATAACCTTTATGGTTAGACAATCTCACAGTACTGTATATTACGACGAAGAAATTCCCAGTCATGTGTTTTTAGAGTCAAAAATGGGAAAACCACTTTTTCATTTTGATGTCCACATAGGCCAAAAACACTGTTTGTTAAAATTTTTATATATGTATATAAACTAACTAACTTGAGTAATTTTCGTCCGATTTTTATCAAATTTGGTTTAAAGGTGTAAGGTAGGATAAACTCATTTTTGAACCTTAAAACATAAAATTTCCCAATTTCTCTCCAAACCTTTTTTAAAGAGCTTAATAAAACAAATAATTTTGTATATCAAAGTGTTTTGTACTTTTATTGGTAAACGGAGAAAATTCAAAATATAGTAAATTTAAAATTCCTATGTTATTCTTATTGAGAATATTGTAAGTTAGCTTGTTTATGGATATATTTTAATCAAACTTGGAAAATATATTTTTTGATACTACACTATTAATATATTTTAAAAAAAACACTTTATTGGTTTCCTTGTAGCAACAAACCTAGGTACTCGTTAAACCTAATGTTATTTAAATATATTTAATTGAAAATCGATTCAGACAAATGGAAATTCGCTTATTTGGCAGGTTTGCTGTGGTGGGGGTATTTTACCCTGTTTTAATGTTAGTGGTAAAGCCTGTTTAAAAGGGATGATCCTGTATGAATTTTCCTGTTCTATCCGAGTATTTTTAACACATATCATGTTAAATACTGTGTTTTATTAAGCAAAACCTGTAACACCTTCCTGAAATAGTTTAATAAATTGGGGTTAGTTTTTAGTCTGAAAGCAGTATGAAAAAGAATATCAGGTGTTGGAGCTGAAAATACCCTTGTATCTCTCCTGCGTGCATAGTCCAAAATTCTGTTTTGGGATGAAAATTCTTGCATATGGAAACACTACCACTAGCTTTATTCACTATGTCACAGTTGTAACTGAAGTATAATGCTGTATAAATTACGGGTGAAAAAATAATCTCTGAATTGATGGTTAATATTTTATAATCAAAATAATGAGACATGACAATAATACTTACGCAGAAAATATAACTTTTATGCACAGAGTAATTCTGTACTGTTTCACATTGAATTCACTACCAGTATAACAGCAGTGAGGGAAATACATTTCTAAACGTTATGTACATTCAAACATAGATTCAAGATACTCCCTTAGAGGGTCTATGATTCAAATCAATAATTCAGTTACAGTATTTGGTTAAGACTCATTATTGAAATGCCCTAGTGTTATTGGTCAAACTAAGTTGTAATTTTGATTCATCTTCATTTATAGTAACATAGAAACTTCTAGTCATAATATAGAAATACGACAACTAACCACAATATACAAATTTACTAATATGTCACCTTAACTTTAGTTTAGTTGATTTACTAAAAGGAGAACTTTACCAAAATTTTAGTAAGTAGGGTCTAATATTTATTTGTACCATGTATGCAGTTGACTTAAACCTATTGTGCTCCATAAATTTACTTGCAAAGAGATCAATTTTTAAACAAACTCTTAACCTATGTTAAACTAAACTATATTTGTCAAATAATTGTTTATATTTTTAATCTTACAAATTATATACAACCTTAAGTAATAACTAAAATATAGTACAGGTCACAGGTACTGAATGCTGAGAAAAATGGTTAGTGCAACAAGGCAAATTATATAGTCATTGGTGTTAATGTGGAATATTTTAAATCTCATTAGTATTAAAACTTCCTTCATCACTAACAGTTTTTCTCCTTGTTAAATCGTAATTTCCAAAAATATATTGTGTAACTTTACAAACTTCACTTAGATAACAGCAACACTCTAGATAGGTACTGTACTTCTAACAAAGTCCTGTCAATGTCGATACCCAAGTATTTTCCTTTGCCAGCAAATATCAAATTTGGTTTTTTATTAATGACTGTGCAAATTAAAAAAATATATCTTTCAGGCCGTTTGGACTTCTCAAAACTCACTTGTAAAAATACTAATAAGAAGGTTTTGACTGTTTTAACTCATATTAAAAAGCTTTACTAAGTAAATATAGGCGGGTTACACACTGGTATCTCCGACATAATGTCGCCGATATTTTTCGTGCCTGCGACATGCCCCTCGAAAACCAACCTATGTTAACTTATGGAGCTATACACACCAGTGTTGCAGACACGTTGCCTGCGACTCGTGTCGCAGACGCGTGTCTCGAGCGAACCAACCGGTTGGTGTTTGGACAGACATGTCTCTTGTCTCTTGGGCCCGCGCATGCGCAGAACACGTTTCTAGTAGTTTTGGTGCTGCTGAAGCTGCTAACTTTCCAGACATTAACGTTAAATAGAGTCTAAGTAAAAGTATCTTAGACTTAAGTTATTTACTTATTTAATTATTATAAATCATTTATTATAATTTATAATTTTATTTACAATTTATTATAATTTATAAATTTATTATTTAAGTTATTTATTAGTTACTTAATTAGACTCAAGTAAGTAGTCTAAGTAACTTAGACTTGTATTACGGCGCTGCTCTCATGTCGCCAGCACGTGCCTCTTCCCATGATTCTAATTTATATGTCGCAGACATCATGCCCACGACATCAGAAATATCGGCGACATTATGTCTGTGATACCGGTGTGTAACCCTAAGGCGGGTGCTTATGGATCGTCTATCTGTCTTTCAACAGCTATATGTTAAAATAGTACATCAAATAAAGTCAGTTTGCCTGTAGCCCCTCTCAGAACTACTTCTGACACTAGAGTCACAATGTATCACAAGCTGTTGTGGATGATCAACACGACAGCTTTGACATGACTTGATTGCAGCTGGGAGTTGTTATTGTGATCATAGCCTTTTTGGTGGTGTTGATGGAACTGACACTCACATGGTACTTGCAGTCAAACTCCAAGTTGTCAATGTCGAACTCAGTAAACTGAAAACAACCAGTTGATTTAAAATAAACAAAACTTAAAAGATATAATCGATTATCAACCATAATTGCATCCAATTAAAATTTTAACAAGGCAATGGTTGAACAAGTTTATAAAAATAAAAATCTGTCTTTTTAATTTTAAAACATGTTTTACTTGCAAAACCACTCAACTTAAACCCTTGAATTAGGTTTGATACAAAATTACCATGGTACCGGTACCTCAAAGATTTTTAACATGACTTCAATGTTGTTTCATTATTTTCTGTGTTATCCAAATTTGTCTTGGCTGGTTTTGGTTGAATAATCAATTCTCTACTGTACTCTTAAAAATTCCCCATAATATCATACCACATTAGCACAAGTTCCGATTTAAGGCTTTTGTATATCTGTGTTTTCTTGAAAAAATGACATGTTCAATTGACTTTATAGATGAGTTTTACAGGTAACTATTTTATTTTCATAAATAGAAAACCAAATTATTGCCTTTCCTAGTTTGAGTTTACTCTTTGACCCATGCTTAAAGCCTGTCTGTACAAGCTTAAAAACCCAACCGAAAATCACAATCAATGTCTGTTTCTAATCCCAACCGGAAATGGTCTTGCAGTGAAGGGATGTGGAGTTCAGTTTTAGTATTCATAGCCTACCTCAGTTGTAGCCTCGTTGGAAGGATTGTTTTTCGCTGCCTCACAGCTAGAGTGAGGCGACCACTTGACCAAGTATCGTCCTGCAGCTCCCCTCCATACAACCCGAGCCTCCAATGTGTCGGGACTGCTGCGGTAATAGTTGAGGATCCTCAGATCTTTCACTGACCTCTCAGGCTGGACTCGCCAGTTGTAGGTGGCTGAACAACATTTGTGTTTGATTTACAATCACAGCCATTTTCCATTATAATTAATAAAATAAAAATACAAGTTTTTTTTTAGTTATGGGGTTTGGAATCAGATCATTCCTCAGATGAGAAAGTACAAAACTTGACAAGATTAGCACAAAAACACACCCAAATATGGAAAACAAAGAAAACCCACAAAGAGATCTGTACAGCATTCAAATAAAAAAAATTATGCTATAGGCGATATAGTCCAGTCAATGAATGATCCAAAAGTAGGTGTAGAGTGCGTGAGCAGGTAACTAAGCGATTCCTTCAGAAACTTGTTCAGGGGGCTTAGGGTGTTAACATACCAAAAGTCCTGACTCCTAGGTGGTGAGCCAGGGGGTGGAGGGGGGAAAAAGGGGGGGGGAAAGGTACGCATTTCGGGTTTTTTTATTATATCTCGAAAACTATCAACTTTTTGTATACTATAGTAAATTATAAAATTGAAGAAGATTAAATTTTCTACAAGAAAAGTATATAATGTGTTTATTTTGGTTCAACAGATTACGAGTTATAACTTATTTAATTGATATCTTATTAAAATACTCCTTCCATAAGAAATACATGTAAATTAGTATGCGAAATGGGGCGAATCCTATCCGCCCAAAGGAAATATAACTGATATTCTGGAAATATTGACAAAATTTCCAGTAATTTGACACTTTAATCATGAAATTTTGTCAAAAATTAAAGCGAGGGTGAGCGTTTAAAAATGGGATGATTTAAGGTTTTTTTTATATTTCCAATAAAAAAATTCCAAAACTCGAAATTGTGTTACCTCGCCCCCGCCTTAATTTTGGATCAATTTTAAGAGACGTAGGAATTGGCTAACTCTGGAACTCGCTAACTCGGTCGTGTGTCGGAACTGGCTAACTCTGGAACTGGCTAACCGTCCCAGTCAGGAATTGGCTAACTCCGGAACCCGCTAACTCGATTTTGTCCCGCGGCGGAATTCGCTAACTCTGGAAGTCGCTAACCCGGCCGCGCCCACTGCACGGAGCGTTGCCAACCTTGCACGACGAAATAGTCGTAATCTGCCGTAATTCAAAACGTCAGTGTCAATAAAGATAATTGTTTCGGTATTGGTTTCTATTATCAAATCCATTAGGGGGGATATAATAGCTACGTAGCTCAAAGCAATTAAAATGCAATTATAACATCATTAAGAAGTTATTTATTATGTTGGTTCACCTTGTGATTGTTTCTTGATGATTGTAGAGTTTTATTGAAAGTTTTATCCAAGAACATGGCAATCATAAGGTAAACCAACATAATAAATCCTTTGTTCTTGAAACTGGGAATGCCACATAAATTCTAAGGGGTTATATGGTTTTGTATTTTGCTGTTACAAGTCCAATGAAATTGTGTTATATGATTTATATCTAAAATGAATGCCAGTGTTATAGGAAAATAGCAATACATGAAAATTAGTGAGAATAGTAGACCTACCAACTAAACCACGAAGAGATTGTAAATGTAAGTGAGCTCTCAAACACGGATACACAATTTAATCGTGATGTAATTGACCCTTGTCTAATAAAGCCTTTAACCGTGTTTTATAAGTAATTCTTCAAATTAAAGGTTCGTTGTTGACTCGTCAAACTTATGTGTAAAAATATTACATACGTTTCATAACAGTTAATAGAATAATTGTAGGCTAAACCTAGGCAATTGACAACTAAAGCAATGTAAACCTAGACCTACATGCAAAAAGCTAGTTTTTTTTTTAGCCTAATCCTAAGATTTGTTTAATTTATTATTAATTTTTTTATATGATTTGGTGTTGGAAGAAGGATAGATTTAAGAAAGGTAAAGTCAAGGTCATTTTAGTTTAGGGTTTCAGTTTTGTAGATGTCAACAACTGTGTATTTTTTTAAATAGTATCCGTCGTTATTATTTTGAGTAACTTTTAATGTGGTTTACAGTGGGTTTCTAAGTGTCGCAAAAATGTCAACTTTACAAGTTGTTTACAAAAGTATGCCTATCTATTTATATGAAATCAAATGATGAAAAACAAATCTTCTCCAAATGGGTTTCGAACCTGATATCTACGTGTCGTGAGCCTCTTACCTTACCTCTAAACTATTTGTTTATTGACACAATGTGTTTTCAAGCGGTCAAATAACAGCCGACAGTTGCAATGGTCGCAATACTTAAAATATTTTTGATACTATGATTCCGTTATGACATCAAGTAGTTGAATTGTTTTTCTGGAGTTGGAGAGGAGACTATTATTTTAATATAGATTCATTAATTACAATTAGTAATGTTATTACTGTATGATACATTTGTAAATGCCTAATTAATTAATTTTTCCCCTAAAAATGTTCAACTACTAAATATTTGCTTAAATAAATTAACAAACATTAATTAATGCAATTATTTGCATTTATTATTATTATGTTAACCCGTTGTTGCCCAACCACTGAAAAATTGGAAAAATAAGACAATATTTGCTGGAAGATGTTTTTATGGATCAAATTAAGTTATTAAATATCTCCATGGTTACTTGTAACAGAAAAAAAATATTATTTGGGACTTGAGGGTCCCGTTTGGGGGACTTAAGAGTCCCGTCGGTCGACAAAGGGCTAGTACCCTATGGAGTCCAGTATGTGCTGCAGCCTGGTGGACTAAGTTTGAACTACAAGGACATGTTGAAACTGTTGCTAGGCAACAGCTACAACCAATAGCAACCCTAGAATGGCCTAATTGGCAGCAGCTGTTCTGAAAAAGCAATGCTGGGACTTAATAGTCCCGTCGGTCGACAAAGGGTAAGCAGGTGTTCAACTATATCTAGTCAACGCTAGTACTCAATCATCTAGTACAACTATCACAACATCATCTGTTTACATTTATTATAGATCAAATTGCTCTACAACCGTCTTAAATATTCTGCTGCAGTGGCAAGGGGTGGGGTTTGGGGTCCCCCCCCCCCTTGACGAAAGGATTTTGCCCATAAAAGATCATAAAACCTCATAATAGTCCTAACTGTATAAATGTACATTATTGTGATTATTAATTTGCTTTTCGCATAGTCAAAGTAAGTTACAACTACAGTATTATTGCTCAATAATATTAGTTTGTCATTAACATCTTAGTTCAGTAATAAAAACTGTAACGTTTAAAATAACAACTACCGCAAGTTTTACTCATTGACCTTGAAGCTATCAGCCGATTCTTTGTTATGCTTCCATTTTATGTTTGTCAAATAAAAATTGTGACGTTTCAAAAACAATAATGTGAGAACCTAATGCATGTAAATAATGGTAAAACCCTAGTAAAATTAAATAAATATACAATGCATTTCAACACATCAGCATTAGACTATAGAAAGAAACACAATTTATAATATGATCTTGGTAATTTAATGAATAATGTGCATTAGAAGAGGCAGGTGACAGAAAATGATTGAGGAGACGTGTTGTTAGTTTGCAAGGCCAAAAAATTAGTACTACCAGCGGGATGCGAACCCCGCACCTTCAGGGTGTCACATTATTAATGTGACAGGGTTGGTAGCTCGTTTCTAAATCATACCATTATAATGATCAATAGCTCAAATGTAAACCCTTTTATCACAGAATATTTTAAGGCTAGAACAAACTGCAAGCTGTAAAAACTGGAGATAAAGAAAAATTGTCTACAAACATGTTCAAACTACGAAACGTCCATAAGAAATGTATGGGGGTACGACTTTTTTGTTTTGTAGTCTTTTTACATTGCCTGTTTTGATATGTTTACTATTTCATACTATAGTATTCATGTTTACTGTTTCCTATAATAGTTTTTTTCACATATTTGTTCAAACGTCTGAGAATAATGTTCTTCTTGGTGAAAACCTACTACCGTACAGTATCTGATAGGCCTATACTGCCAACCCTAGAGTGATTATTGAAAATGGTCCATTCTTTTTTTATGACCCATTGTGCAACTGTGGGTGTAAACAGAACGGACTGTCTTGTTCTGCTTCATGAGGGGAGTGCCAGATTAATGAATATAAGAACATTGAAACAAAATGATAAGTTATTCGAATTAATAAAAATCATAACCCGCACGACAGACATAAAATAGACCTTTAAATAGTCATATTATAGCCTATCAAGGAAAATCATTCACGTCTACAAACCCGGTCTACCAAATACGAACTTGATAATTTTATTTACAGCATTTCATATATTTAATGCTATTTATTTGAAAAAGGAGCAAATTACGGCCTATGAAAATAAATATTTCATCAACAAAAGAACCGAACGAACTATCTTTTTACAAACGAATAAACAACAATTAAATTAGAATATAATAACGCATTTTACACGCTAATAATAATCATAACAATAATAATAAACATAGCCTACTTCTCAATATACTTTTATTTAACATCAACCCCATTGCTTTTACTGCGAATTATTCATTGGATACGATATTATGGTACCGATAGGATCGTAGGTTCTACACTTTCGGCAACACTGGCCAACAATCTTCGTGCTTTGCTCCTATTGGCCGGCGCGCGACGCTTCTGATTGGAAGTTAGCGAGTTCCGCCGAGGGACCGAGTTAGCGAATTCTGTCCTAGTACGGAAGTCACTAACCCGGCTCTAGAGCGGGTTAGCGGGTTCCGGAGTTAGCCAATTCCGAAACCGAACAAGTTAGCGAGTTCCTCTCATCGACCAAATTTTAAGATAGGACATTTAACATGGGGTTAGCGAGTTCCAGAGTTAGCCAATTCCGCGGACCCAATTTTAATGATTAAAGTGTCAAATTACTGGACATTTTGTCAAGATTTCCAGAATATCATTTATATTTCCTTTGGGCGGATAGGATTCGCCCCATTTCGCATACTAATTTACATGTATTTCTTATGGAAGAAGATTTTAATAAGATATCAATTAAATAAGTTATAACTCGTAATCTGTTGAACCAAAATAAACACATTATATACTTTTCTTGTAGAAAATTTAATCTTCTTCAATTTTATAATTTACTATAGTATACAAAAAGTTGATAGTTTTCGAGATATAATCAAAAAACCCAAAATGCGTACCTTTCTCCCCCCCCTTTTTCCCCTCTCCACCCCCTGGCTCACCACCTAGGAGTCAGGACTTTTGGTATGTTAACACCCTAAGCCCCCTGAACAAGTTTCTGAAGGAATCGCTTAGTTACCTGCTCACACACTCTACACCTCATTCCTTGACTGGACTAATAAGAGGAAAGAAGGCAGTGAAATCGTGTTACTGTGACTCAGAATTCAAACTTTTGCTGATTCAATTATGAATAAGTTCATTTTGTTTTAAAGAGCGTAGACTATATAGTACATTTAATTTTTCCAGCCTTAAATCAAGCTTAGCATAACATCTGACTATAGAATAGTTATTTGTGTATTTAGTGGGCAAAGTGGCACTTTGTTGCACACGAGAGAAAATTTCTTGAGTGCAGCAAAGTTAGTTTTTACTCGTGTTACACATTACATTTTTCCGTCAGTTAGGCCTACTATAAATCATTAGTCTTTTAAACACTGTACAAAACCTTTTTAGGTTATGTTAAATCCAAACAATGAACGGAATGGGAAACGCTGGACCAGCTGATCGTAGTCGTAATATCTTTAATTGTTGTCGACTTATTTTCAAGCGTACGCGTAATACGTGCCTAATAAAAGCATGCCATTTTGTGTTGTTTGGTTGGAGTACTGGTGTGCGGCAAAAAAAAAAAACTGTACTGTGTGGCAAAAGTAGAGCCGCACAAATGGGAAACGCTAACGCTGACAACGCTGTACCAGCTGATCGTAGTCGTAACATCTGTAAGTGTTGCCAACTTATTTTCAAGCGTACACGGATACAAAGAGGCCTTCCTTGCACTGATTATAGTAGTCCGGTTGCCAAGCCCAAAACCCAAAAATTTTGGATTAAGTTTTTTTTTATTTTTGGATAGTAACTAGGACATATACAGCTTCAAGAAAATGCGTGATGACATTCTGTCACCCTTGGGCAATTCGAGTTTTCGCCGCCATCTTGAATTTTTCCAAATATTTTTTATATTATTTATATTTATGTAAGATAGGGTTGTTGTATATAATTTTATATGTTTTTATGTACGCTGAGTTCAATGGGAGCACCAAAAATTATCTAGAAATAGTCATTTCTTAAAAACCGCCGCCATCTTGAATTTTTAAAAATATTTTTGGAAAATTTTTATATTTGTATTATAGGGTTGTTGTATATCATTTTATATGTTTTTATATACGGTGAGTTCAATGGAAGCATTAAAAAGTATCTAGAAATAGTCATTTCTTAGAAACCGCCACCATTTTGAATTTTTCAAAATATTTTAGGATTATTTTTATATTTGTAATATAGGGTTGTTGCATATCATTTTATATGTTTTTATGTACGCTGAGTTCAATGGAAGCACTAAAAAGTATCAAGAAATAGTCATTTCTTAGAAGTCCTAACCATATAAAAAAGAACTAAATCAAAAAAGCATTTAAGTGAGGAGGTGAAGCAAGCCGTGATGTGAGCTGAGGATTTTAACCACTACTCTCGCAGGGTTGTGCTGCTCGTAACGCTCGATGTGCGAAATGCATTTAATTCGGCGAGGTGGTGCGATATGCTGGACGCTCTGGAGAACACCTTCCACGTGCCGGCATACCTCATGCGCATCATAGAGGATTATCTCCGGTTTCGCCTCCTAACGTATCACACTGCGGAGGGCCCGCGGACAATGAGTGTCACTTCTGGTGCTGCCCAAGGTTCCATACTCGGCCCAGACCTCTGGAACGTCGCTTATGACAGCCTCCTGAGGTCTGAAATGCCTGAGGAAACGGTTTTGGTTGGGTACGCAGACGACGTTGCAGCTTTGATAGCTGCACGTAGCGTTGAGCTAGCTCAGCTAAAGCTTAACCGAGTTATGCGTACCATAAACGCATGGATGGCAGACCACGGTCTCTCGCTTGCTCTGAGCAAAACCGAGATCGTGATTTTGACAAAAAACGGATTGACACCATCGTGCCGTTGAGGGTGGGAGCCGTCGAGGTTCAAACTGTTCGTTCTGCCAAGTATCTTGGGGTCATGGTAGACAGCAAGCTTAGCTGGCGGGATCAGATCTTCCGTACAGCGGACAAGGCCGCTAGGGTGGTTTCTTCTCTTAGCCGGTTGATGGCCAATGTCGGAGGGCCTCGGTCCAGTCGTAGAAGGCTGTTAATGTCTTCGGTCCAGTCCGTACTCTTGTACGGTGCGGAGGTGTGGGCAGACGCACTAAATAAGGAGGCATACAGGATGCGGCTCGCCCGAGTGCAGCGTCAGGCAGCACTGAGGGTAGCATCTGCCTACCGAACAGTGTCCGAGCCCGCCGTCCTGGTGATTGCTGGAGTCATCCCCGTCAAACTTTTGGCGGCGGAGAGAAAGGCAATTCACCGGCGCCGTGGGGAGGACGAGGCGCGAACAGAGGAACGCACCCGCACCTACCAGCTGTGGCAGGAGGGCTGGGAACAGGAGACACGGGGACTCTGGACCAGGCGACTGATACAACAAGTCCAACCTTGGGTGGATCGACGGCACGGAGAGGTGGACTTCTACCTCACCTAATTTCTGACGGGACACGGCTTTTTCCGGTCGTACCTATTCAGGATGGGCAAAGCCGTGTCACCGGACTGCATATACTGCCCAGGCATTCTCGATGACGTGGAACATACATTTTTCCACTCCCAGCGCTGGGAAAGGCCCCGCCTGGAGGCTCAACAGTTAGTAGGACTGCTGTCGGTGGACACGGTCATAACGATTATGACGGAGGGTGAGGACAATTGGACCTGTGTGTCACATTATATCCAGGGTATTCTCCGCGCCAAGAAGATCGACCTTGACCAGGATGCGGTGTAGGTCACTAAGAATCTAAATGCCAGAAACAGTGCGAGCCCTGAGGGCTTAGGTCACATGTTGGCCTGACTTGAAGTAATGTGACAAACAATTCCAGGTCTGTGTCCAACAGAGTAGAGGGGTTTTTTTTAGTGAGTAGTCTGATAATTTTCAGGAGTCTCACACTATAGGCTGGCTACCTGTGTGCGTAAAAGCATTTTCCCTCCTCTCCCTAAGAAAAAAAAAATGCACGCCTTTCGTCGAGGAAGAAACCTGGAGAAGTTTCTTTAGAGTAGATTTAGCTTTGCAGATCCTCATTTCTCCAGAATCTGTAAACATTTAAGTGAGCAAAGGTAACAATTCGTGAGACAGAACGTGACTTACATCTACTTGTCTTGAGCTTGCCTGAAGTCCTATAACTCGGGAGTAAATTATACCTGTATCGAAAACCTTAACACTGCCAATATTTACAAGTGGTGGATCGTGCTACCTGCACTCTTAGTGGATATTCCACGCAGCCGATGGTCATAATATATAGAAATGACTATTTCTAGATACTTTTTTGTGCTTCCATTGAACTCAGCGTACATAAAAACATATAAAATGCTTTGCAACAACCCTATATTACAAATATATAAATAATCCTAAAATATTTTGAAAAATTCAAAATGGCGGTGGTATATAAGAAATGATTATATCTAGATACTTTTTAGTGCTTCCATTGAATTCAGTGTACTGGAAAACATATATAATGATATACAACAACCCTATATTACAAACACAAAAATAATAAAAAAAATTTGGAAAATTCAAGATGGCGGCGGTTTTTAAGAAATGACTATTTCTAGATACTTGTTAGTGCTGCTGTTGAACTCAGCGTACATAAAAACATATAAAATAATATACAACAACCCTATATTACAAATAAAAAAAATTCCAAAAACATTTTGAAAAATTCAATATGGCGGTGGTTTTTAAGAAATGGATATTTCTAGATACTTTTTAGTGCTCCCATTGAACTCAGCGTATATAAAAACATATAAAATGATATACAACAACCCTATATTACATATATATAAATAATACAACAATATTTGGAAAAATTCAAGATGGCGGCCGAATCTCGAATCGCCCAAAGGTGACATGATGTCATCATGCATTTTCATGAAGCTTTACATGTCCTAGTAATTATCCATGAATAAAAAAAACTTAATCCAAAATTTTTGGGTTAGCCAAAAATATAGGGTTTGGCAACCGGACTATAGCCATAGAACTATAAACATAAACTATAAACTTGTTGTAGTTCTATGATTATAGCACGCCAAATAGCTATAATTGCTGCATTTAGACCTACCTAATTTTCTGCACTCATTTTACATTTTGCCGCACTCCAGTATTCCAACCAATAAACCAAACAACAAAAACCGTTTGCTTTTATTAGGCAAGTAATAAGTGTACGCTTGAAAATAAGTTGGCAACACTTAGATACGACTACGATCAGCTGGTGCAGTGTTTCCAATTTCGTTCACTTAGATTTAACCATTTTACCTAACATAAAAAGTGTTGTTTAGGCCTAGTGTTTGAAAGACTAAATATTTCTATGCTTTATAGTAACTAAAGAAAAAATATAATGTGCAACAAGAGCGCAAAGGGCCGCACACTAGTTCCACAAATAACTATTTTCTATCTGGACTTATTATACTTAGGTATATTTACTCACCATTTTTGTATTTTGCAGTGTTAATAAATATAACAGCTTTATCAGAACACAGTTTTTTCCTGCCAAAAGGCACAGTGACTGCTTGAACTTGTATGAAGTAGAGGGATAGCGGTTTTAAGTCCTTTAGGATGAAGGATGTTGTCTTCTGAAAAAATAACAGAAAGGTTGCTTATATAATTTATAATAACAATGATTTACCAGCAGCCTGCGTCTTTTGACTTTAAAGTCCGTGATATATTTGATAATTGTACAGGGTGAGTTCTAATTGTCCCCCCCCCCCCAACTTTTTTCTACATTTTTCAAATATCAATCCCAGACCACTTCCAAACATTGTTGGGTAGTAAGTACTTCATTTTGACAAGGTGGTAATTTCCGGCCGCCATCTTGGATCCGACATATTGAATGCAAAATATTTTTTTCAAATGTAAAGGTGGGGTTGTGACCCATTATTTCGAACAGATTTTTACACTGATTACAATGCCACAAACCGTTTAAAAAAATTTTGATCCATTCCAAAGTTATGAGGGCTTTTAAAACTTTATTTTTAGCCCATTTTAACATTGTCCATGTACAAACTAAGACCATAATCTCAAAATAGTGCTAGATAAAGATACTACCAGTCATTGTCGACCTATTTTAACTTGGTTATAACTAATGTATTTTTCCGGCCGCCATCTTGGATCCGCCATTTTGAAATGTGATAAATTATTTTAAATATTAAGGGGGTGTTGTGACCCATCATTTCGAATTAATTTTTTAAGCTGAACTCAATTCCATGATCCGTTTTTAATTTTCACATTTTTATTTTGAAATATGGAAATTTTCAACAAAACAATTGCAATATTTCATAAATAAAACTTGATAACAAAAAACGGATTGCGGCATTGAGTTTAGCTTAAAAAAAGTAGTTCGAAATGATGGGTTACAACACCCCCTTCACATTAAAAATAGTTTATCACATTTCAAAATGGTGGATCCAAAATGGCGGCCGAAAAAATACATCTGTCATAACCAAGTGAAAATAGGTCGACAACGACTGGTAGTGTATACTTATCTCTATCTAGCACCATTTTGACATTATGGTCTTAGATTGTAAATGCACAATGTTAAAATGAGCTAAAAATAAAGTTTTTTAAAAGCCCTCATAACTTTAGAATGGATCAAGATTTTTAAAAACGGTTTGTGGCATTGTAATTAGGGTAAAAATTTAGTTCGAAATAATGGGTCACAACCTCACCTTTACATTTGAAAAAATATTTTGCATCCAATATGGCGGATCCAAGATAGCGGCCGGAAATGGCCACCTTGTCAAAATGAAGTACTTACTACCCAACAATGTTTGGAAGTGGTCTAGGATTGATATTTGAAAAAGTGTTACTAGTATGGAAAATGGCTCTTTACTGGACGAGTGTGATCGTTTCTGCATGAAAGCATGACCTTGTAGCCCTCAAATTTAATTCCACAAAGAAAATAAAAAAAAGAGCATACCACTGATCCAATGTAATATACATTAAACTTTTTTACTTAGTTTTTAAATTTTACAGTTATTGATTTCACCGAAAATGAGTATTTGTTTTCTAAGGAGGAATGACCAGTTCTTGAAATAGATAAGGATAATGAAACAAAGGATAATGTGATGTCAGGTAAGTATTGTTGGATGACAACCATTGTCATGAGTCTGCAGCTTTGTTGTCAACACCTAAAATGTGCTCCAGACCTACTATTATTGATCTATCTATTATCTTCGCAGAACCAAATAAGCAGAGTAAAGAAGCTGTTATCTAAAAAGGATATTAAACTGTAATTGAGCGGAGCGAGTGAAGCTCTTTGAGATCGGACCTTACGCAAACTATGTAATTAGATAACTCAATAACGGCTGAACATATTAAAACAATTACCAGGGTTATTTCGACAAACAGTGGACATGTTAAATAAGCAAATTTCAATTTGATATTGCCTGTACACATTAAAACTAATGTAAAATCTTTAACATTGGCTTTAAGGGTTGCTATGATGGTTACCTATAAACTAAAGAACGTAAATTAATGTAAATAAAGAAAAAATAATATTAATTATTTGTTTATACAGGCTGAAAAGGATTCATGTCTTGGACCTAAGCTCACGTTTTGTTTGAACAATTTAATTTTCCCTGTTTATTTACTTATTTATTTTTTCATTGAAATATTTTTAAATTAAATCTGCCAATGGACAGAGACTAACTAACGTTTTATAAATAATTGTTATTGTATTTGCTGAATGTTCAAAAAATGAACAGATTGTAAATAAAATTGTGATAAAAAAAATTATTTGTTTATGACAAACCATCAACGGTAAGCTAGCAAATTACAAAATACAGAACAAATTAAAAGGACAATCTTATTAATACCATTGAGCATTGATTAATACTCTAAGGGTGTATTACTGAGCAATGGGATGAATAAAATGACTGTTTAAAAGTTATTTTACAATTGGCAGAGAATAGTAACTCTCTGGATTTTTAAGAATGATTCATGTTGGAAAGGTTTGAGTGGGTGGACGTCGACTAAATGTTTTTATGAACATATATACATTGCAGTCAAGAATGCACTGTAGATCAGGCTGTGGTGGACCTAGGAAAATCAGAATTTTCCCTCAGCTTAACTTACGTAGCATTGCCAAGAGTTAGAACCATTGAGGACTTAATGATTGAGCCATTTTCTATAAAGAGTGTTGAAAACATAAATAAGAGCAGCAAATGGCTAGTAAAGTAATTACCCCGCCGCAGAAAACCTGCCGACTAAGCGAATTTACATTTGTCTGAATTGATTTTCAACTAAATCTATTTAAATAAAATTAGTTTTAAAGAGTACCTAGGTTTACTGCTACAAGGAAACTAATAAAGTGTATAAGTAAAATATTAATGGCTCGGTATAAAATATATAAAAAATTGCCAAGTTTGGTCGAAATATATCAACAAACAAGCAAACTACAACTATTTACAATATTCTCCAAATGGGAATTTAAAATTTAAAATTTTTGAATTTTCCCCGTTACCAATAACCGTACAAAATCACTTTGATATACTTAATTATTTATTTTTAAGCTCTGTAAAATGGTCGATAGAGAAATTGGGGAATTTTGTGTTTTGAGGGTCAAAATTTATTTTTACCCCATAAAACTCCTCGTAAGACCCTGTTCCCACGGTCCGATCATGCTGGTTCGCGAACTAATTCGAGTTTATCCCGCCTTACACCTTTAAACCAAATTTCATCAAAATTGGACAAAAATGACTCAAGTTGACGCTCAAGGATTTCTTAAGAGAATATTTATGAAAAATGAAACATGAAACAAGTGCGAATTTTCGTTTGATACAAATGTTTTCAAATAGAGATAAATTAATGAAATGTAAAAATGAACAAAACAAATAAATATGAACGGTTTACAAATAGTTTAATTTTGAGAAAATATGATTGAGTACAGGCCAAAGAAAAAGAAAAGTAACATAAAAGAAAATTAAAAATCAACTGTGTTGAATAACTTTTTACCATTTAAATTAAATCCAGGGAACTTTGTTTTAAGCACCAACTGGTGAGCCAATTCAGAATTTCTTAAGATCAGTTGGTTGCATTTAGGGTTTTGATGTGGGTTTACTTTGTGAAGAGGGGGGTGTTCTGAAGGGTATAGCAGCCTTCAAAATGTTGGTTGCGGTGAGCGGTATAATTATAGATTGGTTTTCTTTAGTCTTCATGTACCACGTCAAAACGATGGCCTGAGATTCGAACTCTTAACGAGTTCGAAGTCTGGCCAATCTATTCTTTTGTGAAATGTTTCCACAATAGTTACGTTTCTTTGAACGAAAATTCGCACTGTTTCATGTTTCATTTTTCATAATTCTCTCAAGAAATCCTCAACAACAAGAACAATATATATGTTACACTCAATCTCCGAATTCGGACAATGTCCGAAATTCCTACCCACTCTGCGATGTGGATAGTGTGAAATACCCACGTCGCGGAGTGAGCATTTTATTCGGACATTGGCCGAAGTGAAATACCCATACCGCGTTGTGGGTAAATTGATTTACTCAAATGTCGAAGTCATAACGTTCTTCGGCAATTGAGCAAATCTAAAATACCCACAACGCGATGTGAGCAAGGGGGATTGCCCACGTCGGGTTGTGGGTATTTCTAGTTTGTGCAAATGCCGAATTTACGTTTAGACATGTCACCTCCACCATTTGCACTATCTGCGATTAGGGTGGACGGACCTACACCTGCATTGTGTTTTCTTTACTGTTGCTGACCTGTAGTGATACGCACGTGATCAAGTTAATATATGTTCAGTGATTACCTCTTGTGAGATATTGTTTTGGTCTGTCGAACGAGCCAATCAAGATGTCAGAGGCCAATGTGGACGGGCAAATCAGAGGTTAAAAGAGGTTGCCAACCTCTTAAAAAAAACAAACAAAAAACAAGGTTTTATGAGACGTGGTTGCAAAAATGACTGTTTGAGTAAATCTTGTAAATGTATTAAGTCAAACGTAAAATGTACTTCTAAATGCCATGGCAGCACCCAATGAATGTGTTAATAAGTAAATGAAAGATGTAACAAGAACTGTGTGATAGTTGGCGTTTTAAGGCTACTCATATTTTTGTAAAGCGGAAAAACATAATTTCAATGCATGTGTAGTGGACCTTTTTATATTTGTTCCTATTCGGTAATTTTCTGTTTTCTTGTATTTTCTAAAATGCTATTTATACATTAAATAATTATAATCACAAACATAAATTGTATTTATTTTACCTAGTGATTGTGGATTTTATGTAGATTTATGGCTACGGTAGTTTATAAACTACTAGTCGGCGTTTGCGCAAACTAGAAATACCCACTACCCGACGTGGGCAATCACTTTTGCTCACATCGCGTTGTGGGTATTTTTAAATTGCTCAATCGCCGTAGAAGGTTTTGACTTCGGCGTTTGAGTAAATCAGTTTACCCACAACGCGGTCTGGGCATTTCGTTTCGGCCAATGTCCGAAATAAAATGCTCACTCCGCGACGTGGGTATTTTACACTATCCACATCGCGGAGTGGGTAGAAATTTCGGACATTGTCCGAATTCGGAGATTGAGTGTAACATATATATATACAGGGTGAATTTTAAATG